TTTAATATTTTACCTTGTACCCATCCATATCTTCAAATTTTAGATACTGTAATTTTCTAGGTTTTTTCCTATTACCCAAACAAGTCAGCGAATTCCCCAATACCTGCCCTTACCCCCATTTTCCAGTTCAAAGTGAAACTCTTAGCTTAAAATACCAGTAAGTCTCTATTTTTATTCTTCTAATTTTATTTACTTATTTATTTATTTTTTTGGTTTTCTTTTTTTCTTTTCTTTCTCCACATTCCTTTATGTCTATTATTTCATACTATATCCTTTTGCTTTTCTTTCAATCTCCCATGTAGATCTGTAGAAGTATATTCACATTTGCACATATTATATATTACACTACAACAATTGTTACCATCTATTTACTTCAGTTTAGGATTTCGTTACTTAGCTTACTTTGTTCATATTTTAATTTACTTACGTTTTATAATTTTAATAACCATATTCACATTGTTTATAAATTTTTGTCTAAATATTATGTAACTTCCACAATTATCTATCTTTTTGTATCATGTCCGTTCTGGCCCCAAAGAAGACCTGCAAAGTCGGGTCGAAACGTTGGCTTTTAATAAAATAGTTTTGCCACTATTTAGCCTATTTATGACCGCCACCCCGAACCCTCTCCATCCTTTGTTCTTTTTTATGTTTACGATTGCGCATTAAGCATTTTGCAAAAATTTCGACCATTTATATTTCTTTGATTTACTTGATACTAGCTCTTATTTCTACATAAACACGCACATATGTGTACATATACAGGGTGTTTCTTAATTGCACGGCACTATTTTAGGTATGTGTTCGCTAACACAAAATAAGCAAAAAAGTTTATATTAACATATATCTCAAACTCATTTATTAAACAGATATCAAAGGTTAAAGATTTATTATTTTTTATTACTATTTATTTATTATTATTACAACATTTAGAGTAACTGTTCAAAGGGGCTTCCGTTTTGTTCTTCGTATACCATCAAGATGGTGTTTGATAGTTACTGTGGCGATTTCTTAGCTCTTCTTGCGTGCCAACTGCCACAGAATAAACCATAGACTTCATCCAGCCCCACACAAAATAATCTAATGGTGTTAAATCCGAAGATCGTAGTGGGCATTTAACGGGTCCGTTTCGACCAACCAATCGGTCTGGTCTTCATAAGTTGCATTTAAATAATCAGTGACACTATTAGAAAAGTGAGCTGGAGCACCGTCATGCATTAACCACATCCTTTGCCTAATGTCTAGCGGAATATATTCTACGAGTTCATGAAGATTATTTTGCAAAAAATGCAAGTAAGATATACGTGACAGCCTGGGTGGCAAAAAGAAAAGGAAATGTCCAACAGCAGTCGTATGAGGGTTTTCTTCAACCCAAGTATGGGTATTTTGAAAATTAAGAATCTCGTTTCTTGTAAAGGAAGATTCATCAGTAACCAAAATGCAGTTCAGGAAGTTGGAATCTCGTGTGCATTATCGAATTAATCACAGAGAGAAATTTCTGCGCATGTGGTAACAAATCTTGCCTACTCGATACGTGAAATGGATACAATTGTTGTTCGCGTAAAGTTCGCCATACGCTGGTAGAGGAAACATCAAGACGATGTGACAATCTTCCGGTACTAGTAGTAGGAGATAACTGAACAGTATCGAGTATTTCTTCTTCAACGTTTACTATTCCTCAAAATCTTTGTCGACCAGCATTAAGTCGTATATGTTTTAGCGTGCCATTATCCCTGAGGTTTCTTTTGATGGCCTCAAACATTTTACGATTTGATATTGTTCGTTTAGGATATTTTTCACGAAATCTTCGAGCAGCAGCATCACCGTTTCTATGAACATCGCCAATAAATTAAAAGCATGCCTGTTTATTCTGCAAAAATGAATACATTTATGGTGTCTCGCATGATAATCATAAATTGAACTGTTTCACAGTATTCACTCAGACTAAAACACACATAACCAGACAAACATATGAGCAACTACTGCCATTGCTTATCGTTCATTTGTTTATCAGGTGATTATTTAGTAAACCTGTTATTTCGTATTAAACAGGTTAAACTTTCAGTTTTAATGTAGTAAAGAAATAATAAATCTTTAACCTCTGATATCTGTTTAATAAATGAGTTTGAGATATATGTTAATATGAACCGTTTTGTTTATTTTGTATGATATATGTATGCGAGATCTGGACAAAAAGCAGCAACCTATAATGAAGTATTGGCACATTAGAGTTGAAATTGGTACATTGCAAAAAAATTGGAACTAGCTGAACTGAAAATCTGAAAAACTGGAATTAGCCACGTTCCGATCACAATCCTTTAACGCCTACCTATCCTCCCTCTCTTCTCGCGACAATTCCCTTTGGAAAACCACGAAAAAAAAATCCCTAAATCCTCACCACATGTCCCATCCCCTCCGACGAGATGACGGCTCCTGGGCAGCACCTGACGAAGATAAAGCTGAGGAGTTCGCCATTCACCTATCCAATACATTTATTTCAAAAGTACCCACACCGTAACAGTAAAAGAATTCCTTCACCAATCCCACTTTCCTTGTCTCCTAAAACTATTCATCCATCTGAAATGATATTTCAATTATAAAAACTAATCCCCCGTAAGACCCAAGAAGGATGAGATTATTTTGTGGAGTTTGAGTTAGGGGTTGAAACTTCTTTTAATAGTTTCTATGAAACTTTTTGGGAAAAGTATTTAAAACAAAGAGTTAACCGGAGAGTTCAGACGGCTACACAATGCCGAATTGCGTGAACTGTATCCGGGCAATATAATAGAGGTAATTTCATCGCGGCGAATCAAATGGGCTTGTAAAGTTGTTGGGCTTAGTAACGAGAGAATTCCTAAAATTTTAATATTTGCTGTGCCGAATGGTAAGCGTCCAAGGGGTAGACCGAAGTGAAGGTGGGAAGATTGCATTAAAACCGATCTGAAGTTACTGGGTTTGGACGGCGAACGGTGGAGGGAGGTGTGTAATAAGCGATTGGTGGTGTCGGCATCGAACCTTCGGGTTCGCTAAGCCTTTTATTATTATTATTATTATTATTATTATTATATTATTAATCCCTCGTAAAGCTTCTGAATATGATCTCCTTACTCCTCAGATCCTTCGACAACTTCCATCCAAAGTAGTCATATTCCTTCCATATATCTACAATTACATCCTACGCACCACCCACTTTTCTCTCGACATCCTATAGACCAATTACCCTACTCCCAATCCTTTCAAAAAAATTTTAAAAGATCCTTTTGAAACGAATCCTACCCATTATAGAATCCCAAAATATCTCTTCCCATCAGTTTGGTTTTCGCTCTCAACATTCTACTGTTCAACAAGGACTCCGAGTTGTTGATCATATTTCCTCAGCCCTAGAAAACAAGGAATACTGTTCGGGTGCATTTCTGGACATTGCACAGGCATTTGACCGGGTATGGCACTCCGGACAGCTCTTCAAGCTTTTTTTTTATTATTATTTTAATGGAATTTACAACTGCATTACATAGAAAATACAATAAGTAAATGTGAAATTGGTAACATGACATGTACAACATGAAGAGAAACTACCATTGGTAGAACTCAAATTAAAGTTCTATATTAGAAGATCCCGAGGCCATCTTCTTTTCAGACGCCTCGTAGGGTTATCAGGGATCGAGGAGGAAGCAAGGTTTGAAACGAGAGGATTCGGATGGTTCTGCAGTTTGTTGTGGAAGGACAGGTATCTGGATTGGGCCAAATCGGAAACATATGGAACATTAAGGTCTTTGTGGATGATTTTATTTGTAACAAAGTAAGGAGCGTTGAGGATTTTAAGAAGGATTTTGGTTTGTAAGGATTGGGGATACGGGAGGAATTCGATGGTTTAGTCGAGCCCCAAAGCTCAATTCCGTAAGTCCAAAAAAGCCTTATTATTGTCATATATAAGTGCTGCAGTAGTCGAAAACGTTGGGCGGTTTCTAGTCGTTTCAGTTTGGTATGGGGGTTCCAAGTGAGTCGTTTGTCAAGGTGGAGTCCTAAGTATCGGATTTGTTCGACAGGAATAAGAGGGCTATTGTTGAAGGATACTGTAGGACAGGAAGTCATGTTTACTTTCAGGAAGTCATGTTCCAGTTTATGTCAGGTTTACGGCGAAGAGTGAAGGTAATTTGATAGGATTTATTGGAATTTATTTTAATCCTCCTGTTTTGACACCATTTTTCAAGGCTTGTGATGTGCGATTGAAGAGTTTGGGATGCAATAGATGGATCGTTATTAATTGATAGGATACACGTGTCATCGGCATAGGTGGTGATGACAGTGTTGGATTGGGTTGGGATGTCAGCTGTATAAACTGTGTAAAGGATAGGCCTAGGATACTACCTTGAGGAACACCGGCAGACTGAGTAAAAAGAGCTGAATAAGCATTGTTATGATTGACTTTGAAGTATCTTTCAGTAAGGTGCTCTTCAAGCTTAAAATCCATTTACCACAGTCCTTTTACCTAGTCCTCCGATCCTACCATTCTGACCGCTCCTTTGGAGTTCGCTGTGGAACAGAGTTTGTCAATATCTACTCCGTTAAAGCCGGTGTCCCCCAAGGTGTTTTAACGTTTGAGCGAGGAGTTGTATAATTAAATGAACAGTTGTGTAATTTGTAAAATGGGGGTTGGTGTGTTGTAAGATGGACCGGAGTACTCCCCCTCCCCTTAGTTTTATATTTAAAAAATTGTGACACGAATCTCTATCTCCTTTTTTAAACAACTACCACCATACATTTCGTCATATGCTGAAAATAAATGTGTGATATCAAATCATTTTTTTTTTAAAATTAAGTTGTTCATTTCAATTTCACACTGTATATACTTGAAATAAATGGAACATAAAAAATAAAATAATTAAATAGTGAACTTTTTCAGTCGATCTGGCCAACAACAAGAGATTTCGCTCACAACGTGATCCCTAAGCATGGGTTAATTTATAATCATTAAAGGAAGATATTTGCCTGTTCCTTACCACACATTTTTCACTTAAGTTGCGGGTGTTTTTGTTTTTTATTATGACCTCGGAAGGGGGTAAATATCCGGTTGCGTCCATGTTGTCGGAATGCGGCACCTCTGGAGACAAATCTTCTGGTAGCTTCGCGGGGATTCTGAAAAAAAAAGTAATGAGGCATTCAGAATTTTATTTGCTAATAACTACAAATGTTACTGCACTATTTTGTATTGGAAGCACAAATACAAATGTATGGTTAATAAATATTTTTATTATGTATTATTTATATATATATATATGTATATTAAATAATTTTATTTATTTCTTTGAATATAATTGGTGTCTAGTTAATTTATTAATCAGCAATTATTTAGAGCATCTGTCAAGTAGCCAATAAAGACATCTAAATCGATACTTAAGTTCTTTTCATTTAATATAATTTATTTACTTTTTTTTTATTAATGTAACGTATTTGATGTTTATTGAATAAATATGTATCTATGTAAAATAATATAACTTTCTCTTACTTATTTCAATACTTAAGGAATTTTTTTTTTTTTTTAACTTTTATTGAGTATTAATACAGTCTGCCACACTGAAGGGCATTGGTACTAGTGCTATAGTATTCATTCACACAATATGTACATAAGAAAGGGAAAAAAAGTATATATATATATATATATATATATATATATATATATATATATATATATATATATAAAAAGATAAAGTAATATACAAGATAATTAAAACAACAGACCAGCCGAGTAATAACAAAACAAATAAAAAACACATTCACACCTATGTACAATATTTACATTGGTCCAGGGGACTCCGAATCAAGCTTTGTCCCCCAACTGTCGAAGCCAAAGCAGGATTCCAGAAGATCCCAGTGCTTCTCTCCCAGCCGCGTCAGTGGTATAGTAAGCCAGTGGAGGCTGATGGAGGGCACTAGAGCAACAGACGCTCAGGACATGAGTGAAGAATCTGGCCCGTGCCAGTACTCCAATATATACATTTTTACAAAAGGTCGCGGGGCCACTGCCGTTTTAACCTCCGAGGAGGATTGTAGGGATGACTTGAGGTAGATAGAGACTGTGCTACAGGATTAGGACGATGAGTGAGATTCTGGTGAAATTTGGAAAATTTGTCTGGGATTAGGTCAAGTACAAATGGGATACTAAGGTCATTGTGTAGGGTTTTATTGGTTACATAAAAGGGAGCATCGACTATTGTTCGGAGAACTTTAGACTGGAAGGATTGAATGCGTTTGATGTTGGAAAGTTTTGCTGTCCCCCACAGTTCGAGTCAGTAGGTCCAGATAGGTTTCAGGATTGTCTTGTAGACTAATAGTTTGTTCTCAACTAAAAGTTGAGATTTTTTATTGAGTAGTCTATATAGTTGGCCATATCGTCGGTTAAGCTGTTGTCTTTTAAGTCTGGTATATGGGTTCCAAGTTAGTCTTTTGTCTAAAAGGAAGCCAAGGTACCGAACTGTGTCGGAGAGGGGAAGTGGTATGGAGTTGAAATAAACTGGTGGACACGACTTGCGCCGAAGGGTGAAAGTGGTGTGTTTGGATTTAGATTCAGTTGCTTATTCATATTTTAGAAAGTTTTCGGTATAGTCCAACATTCCGAGCCATAGGTGAGGACTACTCTTATTAGCGACTAGTCCGAGCGTAGTTTTGTTGTTGTGGAAAGAGATTTGTTCAACCTTAAAAAAAAAAATCTTTATTTTTCAGTCTCTCTCAGGTATATGTCAGGAGTTAACAAATTCTTCTACCCATTGGAAGGTAATCTCTCCCGTACGAATGCTTGTATCTGCCCTTGTTTCACCTCGCACACCCGCCTTCAAATACTTGGTCTTGGTTTAGTTTAGTCAGACCAAACCTTGCTGCGTGTTTTTAAAGATTGATGAAGGCATCCCTCGTGGATGTAAATGATGTAGCTATGATGTCTAGGTCATTAGTAGTGTTGCCCAAACACGAGATCGAGAAGAGTCTTGGTCTTGCAAACTCAGTCTGGTCTTGCGTACGAGCCTCGCAACAGTCTTGCAGTTACTTATTAGCTTATTACTACAGAAATATTACTGTAATTTTGTAGACAGTAATATCAGGACACTGCAGGACCTTGAAAGGGCTCTTCGGGAGGAATGGGCTATGCTCCAGCAAAGGGACATTTCCCGACAGGTGGAAAGTATGCCGAGGCGTCTTCAAGAAGTAGTGAAGGCAAGAGGTGGAAACACGCGCTACTGAACGATGATGTAATCAATTTCTTTTAGAATAATAATGGTTCGTTTTTCAATTTTTTTTCTCTAATCTTTCTTACCCAATCACGTTTTGATTATTAAAGGTAAAAAAGATTATAAAGTTCCATAAATACTAAGTATGGTCTACAAATACCATGTATTATATACAAATACAACTTTTTTTACAAGTGGTAGAAATATTTTTAGATGAAAACATGAAAAATCAAGTGGGTGGAATTTTTTGCCTGTCAGTGTATATTGTGACATAATGTTATACTTCTGAATAAATAATAATAAAAAGAATCTTATCACTAAACCAACTTTACTATTTGATTTAGTTCGACAAAGTTTATGTAAAATCCCATTAAAATTATAACAAGAGAATATCTAGATGAAAACCCCATTTGCGGAAAATCGATCCTTTCGCCTCAATGTCGATCGCGCCCATTCATAATGCCTATTCCTATCGATAGTTTATCGATATATTTAGGATACCACCGAGGTACTCTTCGCTGAGTTACGCTACATGACTGAATAATAATAACCTTATCTAACTGATGATAAGCGTATCTCTATGCAGTTTAATTATATGTTCGTGTTATCATTGTCTGAGCTAGCAACATACCTGATAAGTGATGCTAGTTTTATCTCCTTCAGACGATGAAGAATTTAGAGTTAATAAACAAAAACCACAACAATTTGAAAATTATTTAAAGTTCTGAGATAACAAAACTCATTGACAGTGAAAATTTAATATTTACAAATACTAATTAAATTGAAAAATTCGAAATGTTCAAACTATCTATTCAGTTTTCAATTTGTAATGAATTTCATAACAATCACGTATTTATTTATTTGTACTAACACACCATTAATGTGATATGCACAGATTTTCTTATAGCGAAATCTTTTCAGGACAAATTTCTAATCCGTCTAACTTTACATACTTGTTAAGTAAATTCTGAAATTTGATTTTTCTCAATTGTTTTTATTATATATTTATATACCTACATATTTGCCACTATCTTATCTTCAGTAATCACATAGAACTTTTATGGATATCAATGAAATATTTTTTGGTTTAGTTAGAAAATTAGTGTTTAACTCGTATTCTTTGATAATTCGAAATTTGTGAGTGGTCTATCAACTTGAAAATTAACAAGCTACAATATATTTCATTTTTCGTTGCTTCGTTAAAACTTAAAACGTAAAAACTAAGAAATATTTCCTACAAACAAAATGATTCCAGATGAAGTAATAAATATGGATAAATGAATAAGACAGATTATTCTACTTTTTAATGTATTTATTTATTTTTTTATATAGCTCCATATAAATAGAGTTAGCCTCCACACCATATAATTTAATAATGATGATTGGTTCGTCTACTCTTGTAGGTAATAATATTACATATTTAATGATTGCCAGTGTGAATAAACGAAGTTATGTACATAAATAACTTCAAATAGTGAAAACTATATTATTAATTTGACGTTTCGACCCATTCTGTTGGCGAACCACTATTTATGACGGCTATTGGTATGATATACATAAACAGATAAACACAAATCAGTGAGTTTCTAAGCTATCAGAGATAGTTTGACCTGGCTATCGAGGGATAGCTTTGTACTTCTGTCCTTTGAGTTATGAGAAGTGTCAATACAAAACATGATTCTCCAATTTGCATATTTAACAAACTCAATCATTAAAATAAAAGTTGAATTAATATTATTATTTGTTACGGATTAAGTCCATTCCGTAACTGTTGGAAAGCTGAGAATTTTAGAATATACAATTTCTAATATAGAAAGTTGTAAAAGGTGTACATAACATATAAATAATAATTTATAATCACCAGCATTATTTAACGTACATCACAGGCTTCCAAGGAAATTAAATGATATTTTCTTACTAAATGTAAACTACTAAACAATTTTTTAAATTTGAAAATAAAGTATATAAAATCCTCCGAATCAAGACAACGGCATGGTTTAAAATACTATTGCATTGTACTTGTGTGAAAGAAGAAGTGAAATATAAAATATTTCATGGATGTATGAAGCATAAGTTTATAACCTTAAATACATTTACTGTTGTTTTGTAATTCTAGATGTTAAATTATATTCTTTTTCACAACAGACACAGCCCACTCCCTAAGCTATGATTTTTCAGTATTTTGAACTTGAATTGTTTCAAAACAATTATATCGTCGTTGGCCAATATACGTTACATACCTTTATAACCCTGGAGCCAGGGCCCAAAAATCGACCTCCTCGCAGGCGAAGGTTTGATTGTGAATTACGAAATTCTATGTTATTCTGAGTAAAAAGAATGTTGTTTGCCATTCCAGAGTCGCTGCTTTCAAAAATGGCGGCTGATTTAAATAATATTAGACCTGTAATTTGAAGATTGAAACGGGAAATCCAATGCGAAAAAATGTTTTATTTCTATAACTAATATATATAGGTTTAGAGATATAAAAATCACAATTGTTAAAGCGGGCCACAAAGGGAAAACTTTTTAAAGCAAAAAAAGTTAGATTTTGTTTTGCTTTTTTCACCTATAACTCCTAAACGATGCAAGTAAGCGAAAAATCTTTAATAAATTAAAGAGCGTTAAATTTTGCGTCGAACAAGTACATAAACTTAATAATTTGGTTTCGTGGTGAGGTATAAAACCACGTTCAACCAAAGCTGATTTTTACAAAATTTGTCAAAAGCTAAGGCAATTTATTATAAATGGCCCTGAAACTCGGAAATGAGTTCCTTAAGAGGAAAAATCACTTGAATGAAAGTAGTAGAGCATCTAATTTTGCGTCCAGTGAATATCAACTAATTTAATGTAGGTCATTTAATCCAAACAAAATCGGTAATCTCTCGATGGTTTGAAATTGGTAATAAAAATATACGTCATTTTCAATACTTCAACATTATGGGTGTCTACTCTACTGAGCTATTTTTATTTAGTCTGTTACATGCAGTATAAGTCTCTTTTCCACCTCTCGAAGTGAAGGATTTTGATAAACGATGTGTTAAAATATACCGAATTTGATAAAGAAATAACGAATCCCGATTGGAGATATATAATTGGCATACAATATAAATATCAGAACTCACTGGACGCAAAATTTGATGCTATACAACTTTGATTCTATATTTTTTTCTTTTTAAGAAACTCATTTCCAAGTTGCAGAGCCATAGTAATTTGTCTCAGTTTTTTACAAATTTGGTAAAAATCAGCGTTGGTTGACTGTGGTTTTATACGTTACCACGTAACCAAATTATAAAGTTTATGTACTCGCTTGACGAAAAATTTAACGTTCTTTAATTTATTAAAGAATACATTTTTCTCTTACTTGCATAGTTTAGGAGTTATAGGTGAAAAAAACAGAAAGATATTGAAAAAATCTGACTATTTTGCTGTAAAAAGTTTTCTCTTGGTGGCCTGTATTAGCAATTCCGTTTTCTAAATGTCTAAACCCATATATACAAACAAGTTAAAAAATAAAAACTTTTCTCACATTGAATTTCTTATTTCGCTCTTCAAATTACTGGCTTAATATTCTTTAAGTTGCCATTTTTAAAAGATTGGCTCTGGAACGGCAGACAAGGTTCTTTTTACTCAGAATAACATATACTTTCGTAATTTACAATCAAACCTTCGCCTGCGATGAGGTCGATTTTTGGTCCCTGGCTCCAGAGCTATTAGTCAGTCAAAGCAATAACCTCCTTGTCGCTTGGCCGTAGTCGGGTAAAATCAGAACCAATATTTAATAATTATCCTTTTTTGGGACCCTTTTAAGTGAACCCGATAACTTGCTAGTACCCTGCTGAATATGTCTGTACCTGGAGTAGTCGCCGAGCTGGTCATTGGCTCTCATCTTGATGTTGATGATGATGACGATTCTATTAGCGTCGGTACACTTGGAACTGACGGGTACGAGCGCGAACAACCACTGGTGTACAGATTAAAAATGATCTTAGTAGCTGATAAAACCTGATATTGTTTGCATTAGACATAAGATAAGATAAATTTATAAAGAAAACTAAAATTCCTGACGTGTAAAATATATCTTTTTTTTTTTTCTAACTCTCAATAAAGTTTATTTAATTATAAGTATAAACAATATCTATGTTTCAAAGTTCATAAATTTTAGTATAAGAATAAAATCAATGGGAGAAGTATTCGAAAAGAAACAGTAACTCTCTGACATTCGCGGACTTAATATACACCATTTTTTTTCATTAGCGAATACTGAAATGCGGAAGAGTTCCACATTTACAAATGACGTATTTGAAGAATCTTGATTAAAAAAAAAAAAAATGCCAGTACATACTGAAGATGTATATCGCTACTGTTAAAATTTTGAATGTGAAACTCGACTGTTTTATAAAAACTAATTATATCTTTATAATTTATTAGTGTAGTGCTCGCTCTGTTAATTTCTGAAATTCGATTCCTTTTTTTTTTTTTTTACCCCCTTCCCGGGGGACATTTTTGCTATATGTTTTCACTTTTGCGGGGTTTTAGCAGTGCGTTGACACGTTGGGAATACGTACCGCTACTGTTGCCAATATTCTTAATACTAATGCTTTATTTTATTTTATTGTCACTGCGTTGCGACCCGGTGCACGGGTGTGCACCTTAATCTCCAGCTGGTTGCGTATCTTGCCCTCCTCGGTAGTTTCCTCCAACAGTTTGATGCTGCCTCTTCCTTATGGCCTGCTCGTGGAACTCATCTCTCTATTGTGAAGTGCGTAGGTTCCACCTTTTGCCTCCATTTTCCCACGAACTCTACGAAATGGGGGTATTTATCCTCTTCCATCAGTTGAGGAAGATGCTCTTCGTCTAGGGCGTACAGTCTCGTCCTCCGCATCAATATGCCTCTGGCTTGCTCCATCGCGGTGCAAGATATAACCACATGCTCAGCCTTATCAGGGCACAGCAGTATGGACATGAGGGGTCGATGTTCTTCCCATGCTTCCTGAGTTTGTCTCTAAACCCCCCATGTCCCGTCAGGATCTGTGAGGTCCAGTAGTCCGGCTCGACCCAATGAGCTTCCAATCTGAAATAAACGGTGGGGAAGTACTTTCTCAAGGTGGCTCCATTCTCACTTGCAATCCACTCCTCTAGTGTCGCCTCTCGGACTATGCCACTCCATCTTCCTGGATCCTCACGGACCCTCCGTTGAAGCCCCTGTGGGAGTCCCTGCCTCTTTAGGTCATTCCTCCAAGCATCCTCCTGAAGGACGAGGTCCAGAGGCAACTCCCCGGCCAGCACTTGCACCGCTTCGTGGGACACGGTTCTGTAAGTCCTAGTCGTCCTCATCAGGGCGAGCCTTTGGATGGTGGCCATCTTCTTCTTCTACACCTGATTCAGGCGACGGCTCCACACTGGGGATGCATACCTCAGTATGCCCAGCACAACTCCCTTGTAGATGATTCTTGTCGCTGGGTACCTGAGGCCCCAAAAGGCACTCCCTACCCGTGCACGACCATTTAGGGACAAGACCACTCTACTCCGTAGGTACTCTATCTGAGTAGAAATATTAAATTTTGATTTAAATCTCACGCCTAGGTAGGTGATCTCCTCACCTAGGCGGACTCTATCTCCTCCTACTCTGAGACTAATAGGGTGGGCACTGTCCGTAGAACCCTTCAACAGTATGGCCTGGGTTTTCGCCGCCGCCATCTTCATTTTCTTCGTTGCCTACCATTCTTCTGCTATGGCGGCGCATCTTTCTCCTTCCGCCACCAATCTCGCTTTGCTATTCGCTGCTACTATGGCAGCCAGGTCATCAACGTAGGCAACGGCACCGAAGCCCGTTACCTCCAATTCCCCCAGCAACTGGTCAAATACTAACTTGCACAGAGCCGGGCCCAGGACTGAGCCCTGTGGACATCCTCTTTCTATTTTCCGCTCTACCTCATAGAAGGTACCTCGTATCCTAGCTTTCCTATCGCTGAGCTACTCCCTAATGAGGGAGTACAAGTTGCTGGGGGCGTCGAACTCCATGGGCATGGAATTCCATTCCTATTGATATTCGACATTCTCCCTCTCTATCTACATTTAAAACCCTCCTATTCCAATTTCTGTCCCAAAAACAGTCAGATAACCCCCGCTAACCTCTTATGTAAAATTACATATTATTCAAAATGATTCACCTAATGATATATTTACATATAATTCATCACTTAAATACTTACTACCAGATTCGTCTCCTTTTTTTCTTTTCTTTTTTCTATATAAACAGAGTTTATTGCTAAGAGGAATATAATGTATTTTTTTTTCTAAAAGTGTATATTTATGTTTTGCCACTTTAACATAATTGTAAGTGTCTTGGCATGGTTTCAAGGGTTTTGTATATAGATTTTTTTTATTTTGTACATAGTATGTTTAACTAATATTTTCTTTACTTATTTCTCTTTATTTTTACTTTTTATGTTTGTTTTTATTTAGGCCAGATATATTTTGATTTTCTACTTTTTTGTTATTATAAAGGGACATTGTCCCAGACTATGTAATGTGAGGTGGTGTGTTTCAGTTTCAGGGTTACATTTCAGTGAATCTTGGCGACAGACTGAAGATACTTACGAATAGCTTCGTCAGATTTGTTGATTAGATCCCGAGACGTTCCTCTCCGCACCTCCTGCCACTACGCTGAGTTAGGGTGGCTCTTCCCCTCTTTCCGTAGAGAATCTTTTTTAGGCACGTTCTCTCATCAGATTATCAAAAACCATCGTCCTTCCTATACCTAAGAACTACTCCAATTTAAGTCCTTAATAGTGCACACCCACTGCCTTACTACAATTTCGTGACTTCTTGATCTCTAAACCCCTTTTCACAGATCTGTCTTTTTCCAAAAATCATTACTTTCTGGAATTTTCTTCTTTTAAAAATCCGGCATGCCCCCCCCCCCTATCTGCGTTTTAAATTCTCCTATCCTGGTTCCTATTCACTAAATAGTCAGATACCGGCTAAAACCTTTTCTTTTTCTATTTTTTTTTTTTTTTTTTTTTTTTTTTTTTGGCTCTGTATATAAATATTTAAAATATATGTGTAATACTATACAGCGCATAAATGTTTATTTTTATTTTTCATTATTGGCCTCTTTAATGTACGGCTATTTAGATGTATTTAAAAATTTATTAACTGTACTTTATTTTATTCATTGGTGACACAGCGCTCATCCATTAGAGAATTTTTTCATTGTATTTTTTTTTTTATTGTTTATAGTTTTAAGTAACTTATACATAGTTTCAGTTGTTTTATATATATTTTTAGCTTACGCCAGTTTTTATTTTCTGTAATTTTAGTTATTGGAGACAAGGTTCTCAGTTATTACAGGAGTTCATTTTCTTTTCGATTATTTTATTGCTAAACTACAATAATTTGTTATCATTTCTCATTGATATAATGTAATAGACCTGACCAGAAGTAATTTTTTTTTTTCTGTTTAACTCTTGTCATTCTTCAGAAATTTCGTTCCATAGTAAAATCTGTTTTCTATTTTTTTTTATCCATCCTATTCTATTCTAATAATTAATATTTTTTTTTTCTATAAAATTTTATTATTTTTTTTCTGGATTTGCGAAGTAAGTTATTTACTTATAGGTATATAGTAGATCTTCTATACTACAGGAAAAATATTTATTTATTTTTACTTTATTTATTTGTTTTGGGGGAATGCCCCATACAAATAGAGTTGGCTATAATGATAACAATGAACAAATTAATTACAGGAAAAATATGAATACTGTCAATTTATAAAAATATTTCAATACATGATATAAGTCATCAATTTATATTTTTTTTTAAACTATAAAGCGAAGCTAATATATCTTTAATTGAGTCCACTCCAATCTAATACATGGTATAAAATATGCCGTTAAAAAAAAAAAAAAATTACAATATTTTGAATAGGTACATGACCCGGTCTATGCGAGGAATGTTTCATAAAATTATAGTGGTATGATAGTATTTAATTTACCGTACCCTAGACGAACTCCTTCTCATTTCATAAAATTAGTTTAATACTAAAATTGAATAGCTTGATAAGATGAAATATTTACATTATGTGCAATCAATTTAAATATAATTACGGCGAATGTGAAAATAAATACAATTATTTATTTTTACAATTTCATTTTGACTGATCGTCTTCAATTATTCACCAGTCAACCATCATCCCACTATTTTAAATATAATTAACAATGCTGTCTGTTCCGACACAGCTGATGAATTATCTACTAAGCAGATGGTAATAGTGGCCTCTGCTCTCCATCAGCTGTTCGTGGTCCCCTTCCTCTACTACCGCACCAGACTGGATGACCACTATCTTGTCTGCCTTACGAATCGTCGACAGTCTGTGAGCTATCACGATAGTGGTCCTACCGACAGAGGCGTTCTCCAGAGCTTCCTGCACCATCTGTAAAATTAAATTAAATATGTAAGATATACACGAGCCAATATATTAAATACTTTAGTTATTATTTAATAATATATTAAATGTTTTAGTTTGTCTATAGTTGTTAAATGTACAAGGGGGTTATAGTCATGTAGAGCTTAAGTAGCTGCGCTCACTAGGCACCGGATTGCAGTAAGTTTCGGAATAGCTAGCAGCCGGATTACAGAGATTTATTTGTAATGATGTTAATTCATTAGACAGTTAGAGATAGTTTAAAATATTCCTGAACCTTCTCATTTTCTGTATCCAACGCAGATGTAGCCTCGTCTAGAAGTAATATCTTGGGGTTCCTGAGGACAGCTCTAGCAATGGCGATCCTCTGCTTCTGCCCACCTGATAACTTCGAACCTCTTTCTCCGACTGAAGTATCGTAAGCCTAAAACATTAATAGGAATATAAAAATAAATATTCACGATTATTATGCTGAAAGGAATCTTCCTTAAATTGTATCCCCTTATAATAACGTCTTGGTCGAAAATCGTAGAAATGACAGAAGATGAATTTTATATTGCATGATACTGTAGGTTACTTAAATAAGAAATTATTTACAAAGTACAAATTCAACATACCTTGGGATAGTTCATTATAAAGTCGTGGATGTTCGCTATTTTCGCAGCTTCGATGACCTTATCCATTGTGATTTCCTCTTCTAAACCATAAAGAATATTTTCCTTTATTGTCATATCAAATAAGACTGGCTCTTGCGAAACGAGACCCATCTGACTTCTTAAATATCTGACATTTATATCATTGATATCGTTACCGTCGATTAACTGGAAAATTAAGGATTAATAAGTGTTTAGTTAATACATTACTGAAAAAATATATACAACTTCAACCGAGTTTTCTACCATCTACGAAGTCTTATAGATTGCCGTACTTCAGCTCTGATTTCTGATTTTAGTTCCTCGTAAAGAGAGAAAGAAGGTGGCGAGGAAGGAGAAGAAGAAGAAAGTGGAATCAGTGAGAATCCAAACAATCGGATAAGGATTATAAGGGAGGAGTACATTGAAGAGTTAAACAGAAGATGAGGGACAAGCCCGAAAGTGTCTACCCTCACGAATTTCTTCCCTACCGACCAGGCAGGATTATAGGCGATATGGGTCCTCCCTGATTACTGGATCTCACAGGACATGGAGGGTTCAGAAAAAAACTGGTGGACCATGGAAAATATACCGACTCCCGGTGCCCTTCCTGCGGACTCTAGTTTTAGAAAGATTTGAACAATGAATATAGCTGCTCTGGACAATCGAGATTAGTTAGCAATTGGAAAAGCTGTATATGGCAAACCGAATCAAATGCCTTCGAGTAGTCCATTAAAATTAAAGCAGTGGCCTTATTACAATTTAAGTTTTAATTTATAACATGAAAAACTTTTTAAAATAAATAATACCAAACTCACTATTTTCCCTTCATTGGGAAGATAGAACCTCTCAAGAAGTGAGACAATAGTCGTTTTCCCACAACCAGAGTCTCCTACTAGTGCTACAGTCTTCCCTGCTTCGATCTTGAGGTTCAGCTTTTTGAGAACTTCAACTGTTTTTCTTGTCGGATAAGAGAACATTACATCTTGGAATTCAATGTTTCCACTTATTTCCTAAAATTTATGTAAATTGTTTTATATCTATCCATTGTAACGCATTGATTATATTTAATCACACTTACCGGTTTAATTCCCTGATCTGTCAAAGTATTGAGAATGGTCTTTGTATTGGCGATTCTGTAGAGTTGATTTACCGCTTGCCTGGCTGCTGGGTACTGGCTCATCAAAATCAAGGCAGGCCCAGTCAGCGAAGCGACCGAGATTAATGTAAATATAACCCTATAAAAAAAATCTTCAAGTGTATTTAGAGATGCATGTTATTGTGGAGGATTTGTTACATCTCTTATTAACAAGTTGTTTATATTTCTCACAGCTGATATTTTAAGCCACATGCTCCTAAATGTCTCTAGTTTAACCTACAGTATCAATCTCTTATTTTTGACTAGTTTAAAATATTTCACATGTCCTCTCCAAGACCTCTCTCTAGCTCCATTTCCCAACTTCCCCATAGCAACCACCTTATACTAGGAACACGTTATTCCATTTTCTTCAAATTTTGCACAAATGTTTATTAAAGGTAGGGATTTGAATTAAAAATAATATAAAACAATGAAAACGATGGTTAAATAATCAAATTGAGAAAAAAATACTTATGAATTCGCGAGGTCTACTGTACACAGATTCGATGTTATCACTAGATCTAAACTTACCAAGAAATAGATGGGAACTATATAACAGAAAATAATACAATACTTTATTATCGGATGTTCAATAATGGAGAGTATCCTTTTTCATTTAATTCGGAATAGAAACAAAGATAATTGTACACATTATGTATTATTTTAGACTGTACTGTATTAGCTCGAATCAAATGAATCTCAGTGAGTAAACAGTCAATCTTTCTGTGAATCAATGTAGGAAAAGGGAAATAAATGAAAAAAAAAAATTATAAAAGAAATAAATCTTGAATAATTTATGATTTTTTTAAAAAAGAATACTTAGTTTAGCTGCTCAAATGTCCTCTTTAAATAGTTTTAATGATAGCAGTCCATACTTTCATTTACCAGTGAACTTTCTCTAGTTTATTGTATAGCAGTTTATAATTACGTACTTTAAATATTTGTTTAGTTATCGCTCACTATTCAGCACAAAAACGTGACATACTTAAATAGGCACACATACACATATACAGTAGAATGGGTTAGAGATTTTCTTCACAACTATTAATCATATAGCAGACAGCCACACTGCAAAAGCCTATAAGAACAAAAACAAAACATTTTCAGGAGATGAAAAAACTGCGTAACTTTTGTTCTATGAGCATTATATTTTTGGTTCAATTTTTATTTTGCAGGCCTAAGACAAGGATGTAATTTTCTTGATCGTATTTATGCCAACTAATCTTTTAGATCCATTATTTCTAACTTAAAGCTTTTTGGTTACTATGAAAAACAGGTATTAATTAGTTAGGTGAACGCAGTAACGCCCATAACTTTGTTAACAATCATGACTGAAACAAAGCCAATTTCCAGTATGAAGAGAAACGATACTTCAAATGAAAATTTGTAAAAACTTTGACTGGAAAGCGATATTTTGATCACACGGGACATTCACTTATTTATCTTCCACTGTAGGGACGGCTTAAACGGAGTGCATGCCGTTTTGGAGAAGTCTATGAAAGATTCGTTTTTAACGTACTCAACTTCACATTGACATGGTTTGATTCAAGAATGCTTGGTAAATTCTAGGTAACCTGCTCATGTGTAGATCAAAGCAATTTCGAAGATTCATTGGTTTGAAAAAATGCAACTAGTTCTTTTTTCGTCTCGTGTTAAATTTTCGAATTAATGAAATTGATTCTCTGTCTCTCGCTATCTGGAAATTGGCGGAATTGTAACTTTTTTCCAGTCAAGCTCATTTTGCAGTTTCCAAGAATTTTCGATTGTATTAAAGGTCGTTTAACATTATACTTCCATTTACTTCTCTCTTCTTTTCTTTGTTTAGTTCCATGGTAAGCAGTGCCGGACTCAGAACAGGGGAACCCATGCATTTGCCTTGAGGAGCCGGACTGGAAGTATCAACCACTTATTAGAAATAAAAAAAAAAATGCAAATTATATAAGAAAATTACTAGTTTTAGAATATAAATTTTAGCATATTAATACAGTTATTCAAAGATATAAGCTGTGGAAATGGAAATTTGATGGAGATGCCTACGTGTGACAAGGATGGGTAGATTTAAGAACAAGGTTCCTAATAGGATGGAGGCTCCTGTATCCGTCAAGCAGAGAATTGGACAATGAAGGATGGTGTGGTATGGCCAAGACGAATTTCTGCCAAGCGATGGCCGGGAAGAGGAAGGCTAGGATGATCCAGAAAAACATGGATGCATGAAGATGGAGGAGATGGCTGGCTGGGTCTTCAGGATAAAGATTGGCTTGACCACGATCTCTGGATTTCAGCCCTGACGTGAAAGGCAACCCTGGTTGGAACATCTATATATAATTTATAATACATAAAGCTGATTGATACTTTAGTAGATGCGTAAAACACTTAATACATTCTGTATTTACATGACCACCTTTCATTGAGCATTTCATTAGATTTTTTCAGTAACTACAGATTTTGTAGTAGACTTACCCCTCTATTTTCTCCTTTATGTGACATTGTGTGAGGGAATGAGAAGGAATATATAGGAATGTGAGGTTGCACTGTGAATTGTACTCAATTTTGCAGTGGACAAATTGTTCATTGAAAAATCTCATATCGATAAACAACTGAAGCAGATGGTCCAATCAGGTAGCAGCAGCTGGAAAGAGGAGGCCAGGCACTTGAGGCCTGGACACGAAGACGAGAGGACATTACCTGACATGAGAGAGGCAGGACATTGAAGACCAAGAATATCAAGCCTACAGTTATGAGACTTTAATATATTCATTTATTATCAGTTGTTAAAATAAATTGTTTTGTTAGACAGGAGTGAATAGTCCTTTTATTTAGTTGTCCTATATGCCTCACAATTGAAGAAGAATAAACAAAGTGAGTCAATTCATTCAAAGTGTATTTACTCAGTCCCAGATTATATATATATATGTTCTTATTGTTTCTTGTCACGCAGTGTCACAAAGGTATTAGATTCCCGATTTCCTAACAACAGTTAAATACCCTCAAAAAAGCCTATATCCAGTGCCGGGGTTTTGTTTTAATATTCACGAGTGTAAATAACCTAGTTCCTCGATATAAAGCGGAAGGCTATACGCCAATTCCCGCCAAAACAAAGAATATTTAAAATTAACCTTTAACATGTTATTTACAAATTTCTATAACTTTCACTATAACTTATGAATTTTACATCACACCTCACAATTTGCTGGTTTTTAAATTACAGGTTTTTACAAAAGGCCATAAAAAAGCAATGAAATATCGTAAATTTAATTTTGTGGCATCAGAATATGCGCCAGGACAAGATTGACCAGGAAAACTCAAAAATCTCCTTTTCCATAGATACTTATTATCCATAGTCTTAGATAATTTATCCATGATGCCATAGATAATTTATTCATGATGCAATAGATAATTTATCCATGATGCCATAGATAATTTATCCATAGTCTTTTGCAGCATGGCTTTTGATTTATTCTTACCCAACAAGCGATGTTCCTTTAACACTACCATTCGCAATTAGATGGGCTCCATAAACAAATAACACGCCCATCGACAATCGTATCAACGCTCCAGAAAAGGTATAAACAGCTGCAAACCATCCAATACTTAAGAATGCTTCCCTAAATAAAATCATCTGATTTAAAATTTGCTTTAATCAATTTCATATATTAAAAAAAAAAAAGTAAGCTCACTTTTTAGCACGAACCAGCATATCCTGATACCCGTTTACTACATGCTTCTGACAGTTAAGAATTTGAATTGTTCTGACACTTTGAACATATTCAGTAGCTATCTAAAACATAAAAAAATCAAGAAATCATCTTGATATCATATATATTTTAATTTATAAAATATTATTTGTTATTTTTACCTTAGTCGACCTGGTTAAGATGGAGGCAGACTTAGCGTCAGCTTTTCTCGACTTAATTCTACAATAGTTGATGATAAAGAAGACAATGAAGATTGGAACATTAGCCATTGTGATTCTGGCACTGACCAGGAACGAATAGACAACGCCAAACAGCATCGAAAGCACGAAGATGATAACTTGAGCGGCCCTGTCTCCTGTCACCTCAACAATTATTTTGGTATTAAAAGCCTAACTTAGAATAGCATAATGAGTAAAATAACATTAATAAATATTAGATTTATTTATAATAACTAAGCAATATGATATAAGAATATAATTAGTAAATGTACATAAAACAAATAAAGTAAATGATTATTAATTCTCAAACTTAGGAGCGGAAAGCTATACCAAAACAAGTTATTTACATTTAACTTTTACTAGGTTATTTACAATTGGCGCCCGAACAGGATCAAAGAAGGATGAGTTAGAGTTCAGAGGGTTACACAACACCGAATTGCGTGAATTGTATCTGGTTAATATAAAATGTTTGCTTGTAAAGTTGTTGGACTTAATAATGAAAGAATTCCGAAAGGTTAATATTTGCTTATATTATAAGATTTGATAAGTCATAATTTTTTTCATGATAACATTGAAAAATAATAATAAAAAAATTTATTTAAATAATCAGTAAATTTCACTCCTCAAACATTATTTGTTATGTTTGCGAATATCAAATAATGAAAAAAAGTAAAACAATCTAATGTATTTTCACTTAAGTGACAGATTACAAATAGCTTAAACTTTAATGAGTTTTGTTTCTAAAATACTTTAGTGAAATTATACTCCGGTTCAGTGAAAATTTATTGTTCATTTATTAATGACAAAATATTGTTCTATTATTTCACTTACAGATTTGATGAGCGGTGGACTGTTGGTCAATATTTCAAGGCATTCGTTAGGAGAGTTTCCTTTTCGGTCAAACCAACTTATGTCCATAGAAACTATTTTACTAAAAGTTTTTGTCTGCAATTTCGCCATCCATAATTGAGTGGAAATTGTTGATGTCACACCCTTGAAAGTAATTTTTTTTTATTTAAAACTATTTTATTGAGCAATGTAACATTCTGCCTCAACAAGGACAATATTAATAAAAATAATAGTTTAAAATAAATTAAAATAACACCTTACCATAGGCATATCTATGTACATTATTTACCATCAGTTAAAAGAACTCTGAACCAGGATTTTACCTTCATCTGCAGAGGGCGAATCAGGACACCAAGACGCCCAGCAATTCTCCCTTAACCGCATCACTTTAGCCATAAGCCAGTCGAGATTGATTGAGAGTGCTTTAACCATATACATACATGCATATTTACTAGAGGTCGAGGGACCACCGTCTTTTCAATCTTTGGGGAGATTTTTAAAAATTCAACTGTAGGGATAGGTAGAGATTGTGCTAGAGGGTATAGATGATTTTTAAGGCTCTGGTAAAATTTGGAGAATTTACTTGGGATAAATTCTAGAACTAATGAGATATTAAGGTAATGATATAATGTTTTGTTAATTACGTAAAATGGGGCATTGATTATTTTTCGAAGGACTTTGGGCTGGAAGTATTGGATGTTCTTAGTATCAAAAAAATTTCTGTCACCCACAGTCGTAAGTCCACATAAGTTTGAGGATGTTTGTTAGTCTTCTTTAAAAATATTCACTTAATATTGATTTCAAAGATATCAGTGATTAAAGTCACCAGCAGATCCATAATTTAGTTTTGGGAAGCTTCAGCCCGAAAGATTATTTTTTTAAATATATAACAATATTTACTTAGGAAGAAAAATAAATAAACTAACTATCAACATGAAATAGAGTTTAAGTAATTCTTTAAGTACTATTAACTGTAATTACACGAACAATAATACTTTTAGAGGTAATTATTACATTTTTCTATTACCATGTCATTGATATTACTGGTAATATGGATCATTGACTATAGTATGAAAGACTCGCTGTCCCCCACAGTTCAAGTCTGTAAGTCCAGATCTCCCACTCTTCTATTCTTTGAAATACTCATAAAATAGTTAATCGAGAAAGACTGAAAAGAAATTGAGGTTAACTCAACCTTTTTTTGTAAATTAAGAATATATATTTATATCATTATTTCTTATTGATGTTGTATCAGAAACGATTTCCCTTTAAAATATTATCAGGGAGAGAATGTAAGCTTGATTACACCATATCTAAATGTATTTGATGAATATGATTAGATATACTTACTGTCAGAACCACTGAGAAAAAAGCTGTGATGCCCAATCCAAGGAGATAAGTAACATCTATCAAAGCAATCTGACTCACTTCATCTTTACTGTACGTGAAAGACTAAAAATTGAGTAGTCTATAAAATCTGTATTAAGAAATCAATCTGCTAAACATAACATCGAAATTCAATCACCTTGCAAAGCAGGCCAAATATATGAAAAAAAATTGGAAGAAATGTTGAAGTAATGACAGTAAAAAAAACGGCCAAGAACCACAGAAAAATTACTTTGGGTTTTATCACTCTCAGCCAATGTATTTCGTTGTTCTGGGACACCTGGACACAGAAAACAACGTTTGTATCTTATCTTCAACAAAAGCGATATGATTATTTGAGAGCAAAATATATTACCTCCAAATGTTCTTCAGCGGGTGTTTTGGCTTCGTTTATCAATTCTTCTTTAGTATCAATTTTTTGGCTACATAGATAAATTGTAATTATAACAAAAGAAAATAAAAATAATATATAAATTATCATAATTCATCATTTGAATTCTTTATCCTACTGAGGTCAAAAAACATAATTTTCTCTGATCCTTTTTGTTCTTTCCATGAGCAAAATTTAAAATAAATAAAAATTTAACTTTGAATATGTACAAAATGAACTTTGTTGGGGAACGAAATATACTTCAGATTTGATATGTAAGACTACAATCAGATGAGTGAACATATATACTTGGCGTCGAGAAATGAAAGGAAATTTGAAGCCAAGAATGAAGTTGGACACATTTAAATAAGGAATATTGGTTTAAAAAAAAAATAAGGAATAGAAAAATATTTAAAATAATCATACTGTGGTGACAAACATGGATGCCAAGAGTAGTACTGATTTTTTTTTTAGGGTCTGGTCAGTATAGTTTTATAATGCCATAAATGTTTTATATTTAATATATTTTTTATGCATATATTTATAACTTTGTATGACTTAATCTTCTTCGTTCTCTTCCTCCTTAGTATTTTTCTCATTCCATAAGTGATCCAGTAAATAATTAACTTCTGAAAAAGGCACTGCAATGCTTTCAATAGTTCTGTTCCAACATATTTTATGAATTCAGGGACGATTCCATCTCTTCCTGCTGCTTTCACGAGTCTTAATCTCTCCACTGCTGCTTCCACCTCCACATATTATCAATAATATTCTCCCTATATACTATTTCTAATCATTCTCTCCTCAACATCTCTAGAAAAAGCTTTGTATGACACTTTATAATACAAAATAAAAATATTTCCAATAGGAAAATAAGTACGTGGTCTTTCAATGTAAAAAAAAAATAACTAAAAGAATATTAGTTTTTTAAGTTAATAAAAAAAAACTAAAATAACTTGTTTCTTCATAGGAAGAATATTTCTCCCTAACTTCATACAGGCAAATTTCCCATCATTTTAAAAACCAGCATTGCATTTGTATGAGTGTGAGTGAATATATATTCTCTCCAAATATGGGAACGAATAGTGCTGAGAAAAATTTTTCGACATGCAAAAATTTCAGATGGGTAGCAAAACCAAATCCTTAATTGCAAAATCTTTTTGAAGTTCCTGATTTGGTAACCTTTATAAGGACAAAGATGCTGAAATGAATCAGACGTTAAGAGCACATGGGATAGAGCAGGTACGCCAAGCGGATTGATAATACAAAGGAAGATGTGAGTAAGGAAGTGGAGACGAAAGACAGGGAATAAAAGTAATGGAAGAGGCAGGCATCCTCAGAGAACACTAATGCCACATAGTCAGTTGCAATTTTTTTTTTTTTAAATCATAGCATTGGAAAAAATAAAATAATGTTTTCTTACTTTAGTGCTACAGCTTTGTCTTTTTCTTCAAGTTCTTGAATCTTAACTAAAGAGTAGTAATATCCTTTAAGTTCCATCAGTTCACTGTGTGAGCCTTTTTCAACGACGCGCCCTTCCTAAACCGAATTCTATTATTAATATTTACTCACCTAAGATGGAATTTTAAAACTGTAGGAATCACATACTTTTATAGCATATATAACATCAGCGTTCCTCACGGTGGACATTCTGTGAGCAATGATCAAGGTTGTCCTGCCACGCATGGCATTATCAAGCGCTTCTTTTACAATACCCTCTGAATGATAATCAAGCGCAGAAGTGGCTTCATCAAGAAGAAGCAGTTTTGGTTTCCTGACGATGGCTCTTGCAATGGCAATCCTCTGTTTCTGACCTCCAGAAAGTTTTATACCTCTTTCTCCAACAATTGAATCATAGCCCTAAGCAAAAAATTTCATTATATATATATATATATATATATATATATATATATATATATATATATATATATATATATATATAATTGTTTGCTTGCTTAAAGTATTTTCACTAATATTGGCCCAATTAATTAAATTAATTTTAAGAAGATGGTATATTGATATAAACTTGAGAGCGAGAGAAAGCACTCTACTACTCTAGAGGTATATTATCCTAAAATTACCAAGTCGTGCAACAGTAAAGTCTTTAAAATTTACTTTTTATGTAAAATAAATAATTAAATTGTCATTTAAGGATACTTCTTAAAATGTAGGTGCCATGTCAAAACTATAGTTATATGTCTGATTGTTAAACTTGGATCTGTGTGCAAGATTTTGGGAGAGCTTAGTAAATGAAACTTTCAAGAAAGGGGATAAGCATGGGCAGTCTAATTTATCTTTTAAATGATCAATTGGAATAATCCAAGTAAAAATTTTAAGTTATTTGAAAACCTAATCAAAGCCAATGAGTTCCACAGAGTGTCATAAATAAATAGAACCTTAACTTTTTTATGGAGAGTAAATTAGATTGATCCGTCAGATCTCCGATGTGTAACTAACTCTCAGATGAAGTCAGCTGGAGTCGACTAATTGAAATGTTTTTGCATATGGATTAAAACATTGCAAAAAATAAAAATTGGACCTGCATATTGTTAGCGAGGGAAATGTTTATCATTTCATCCTTTCTGCAATGTGCTATTATTCAAAACTCTATCTTAACGCGACACTTTGTTAGAGAGGATGAAAAGGAAAAAAAAGTGTCGACAACCAAATGATAAGAAGTTTTATTGAAGATATGGATTAAAATATCTCATAAACATAAAAATAAATATAGGGACCTGCATACTGTTAGTGAGGAAATTGTGCAGTATTTTATCCTATCTATAATGAGCTGTGATTTATAATTTATATTTAATATTATTAATTATGCCTTGTTTTCACTTCTATCGTGTGGTCTAAAGCACACCTTAATTTTTTATTGAATTGTAATATTATAATTTTAAAAATTGTATTTAATTCGAAGCTTTACAACATACCAAAGGATCACATTATTTTTGTATACCTTAAGCTACAATTCTACTGCTACCTTAGTGGAAAATTTTCTACTGTTATACACATACAAATAGCCAAAAATTCGATTATTTTTTACTCAAAAAGCTCTCAAATGTAAGTATTTCTAAACAAAATTGATTAATATTAATTAGAAAATTAAAATATCAATACTAACTTACTATTCGTTAATGTTGCCCAAAATCGGTCTTGGTCCTGTAAGACCAAGACCGTCTAACTGTTGCAAGACTAAGACCAGGACTGCTAAAAAAAATCGGTTTTTTAAATAAAAATTAAGGCAAAATAGTTACTAATACTTGACAATCTTAGTTACTATATGTTAATAATTGGTATAACCAATATATTTTTGCATTTAACTCCTCTAATTTTTCATTCGGGCTTAGTTAGGTTTCTCCTATCTAAAAAATTACAGTAATATATCTGTAGTAATAAGCTAATAAATAACAGCAAGACTGCTGCGGGACTCTTGTGCAAGAGCGAGACCATGACCAAGACTGAGTTTGCAAGACCAAGACTTGTCTCAGTCTCACATTTGGGCAACACTACTATTCGCATAATTTTAGTATTCTACTTACTGAAGGCAGTTTCTCTATAAAGCTGTGAGCATACGAAATCTTTGCTGCTTCCATGATCTCTTCCAAAGATGCATTGGTTTTTCCATATCTTATGTTCTCTTCTATCGTAGTATCGAAGAGCGTAGGTTCTTGCCTCACAACACCAATATGATTTCTCAGCCAACCGACATTCAATGTCTTTATATCCACTCCTCCGATTAGGATCTGTCCAAAAAGTAACAATTGTTCGAAAACTCTTTATATTTACATACTTCTATATTAAAATTACCTTACCTGTCCATCATTAACATCATAAAGGCGAGAAATCAGGTTTACAATTGTACTTTTCCCGGCACCACTAGTTCCTACAACTGCTGTGACTTTACCAAGCTCAATATCCAATGTTAGATCTTGGAGCGCCTATATTTTAAAATTAAAATATGTAGACTTTCTTTTATAAATTAAAAAAAAGAAGACTATTCTACTAGTTGATTTAAAACTTATACCTTTGTTTGTAAGTTTGTTGGGTAGGAGAACTGAACGTTTCTGAAAGAGACATCAGCCTTAAATGTGTCAGGTTTGATGCCTTGTTTGATTGATTTGTTATAGCTGGTCTCAGTATCAAGAAACCTCATAACTCTGTATGCTGAATCCATTGCCATATTGAGATCAGTAATAACACTGAGCAAGTATGTGCTATAGTATACAGCACTACTTTGTGCTGGTAAAAGCTAAAATATACGAAATGACATCAATCTATAAGCATTTAGATTTAAGGCTAAGGTTTAGATAAATAATAAAAATATATTCTTTAAAAAAAAAAAACTGTCTACAGAAATTAGAAACCTAGTTAAATGAATTTTTGTATATTGTTTTTCCAAATCTTCTTTAATTCGTTTAATGAACAGTGTTGCCTTTTAATTACGAAGATCGACCAGCCTCAAGGTCTGCAAAACTACCAGGTTCACTCACTCAGAGGCAAAATGGTGGGGAGGAATTGAGCTCTGACATAGCCAAAAGACTGAATTTACCCTTCCGGCCTTAGTTTCTGGACATTTTTAAGATTATTATTTACTTTTATACATTAAATCAATACTTTATTGCCAAATAACTTAATAATTTATTAATTTTAATAAATTTGAAATGTGAGAGAAAGGTTGATTTGATATTTGGTTTATTCTGAAGCAAATAAAATGTAATTTAACAAGTTGATGTATGATTTTTTGCAAAGTACCACAATACTAATTTTTAAATATTTTAAATAAATACAGAGCATAATATAAAATAAAAGAAATATTTAAAAAAAAAAAGAAAAAGTATTTACTCTAAAATTAAAGAAGCGTTTTCTTTCCGTGAATTTTTGTAAATATTACATTTTTATGTCATAAGTAATTCTATTTAGTGATTTTTCTCAAGTTTTTTGCCTTTGATTTTATGTTTCCTTAATTGTTGTAAAAATCTTTGGGTATTTAAAAATTTGATTCTAATAAATACCGGTTGCTGAAAGAAAGCCTTTACTAGTTCTTCAATAATTTATACATTTTGTTTCCTAGGAAAAAGATTAGTCAATTTTGTTTAAAATATTTTTACATTTACATTTTAAAATCCAATCTCTTCTTCGAGCGTCCTTTGGAAAAGTATGAAATGAAATTTTCTTTCCCATCTTCTTTGCGTCAATTAGATTATTGTTGCAAGATGCAACTGCTTACTTTGTACCTGGCATTCTATATGATTCTATTAATAATTATGTTATTAATATTATGAGAAATACAAGAAATACGAATTCTGTGTAACATGTTATTAAAAATAAAAAATAAATACTCGTTATAATATTATTTTAGAGCGGATAAATAGTTGACTGTTAAGATTATAAGGTGAAAATAAATTATCAGGATTTGCAGTAAAATTTGTTTATTTTTTCAATAAAATTTATTTATTTAAAGAAATTTTAACTGCAAATCCTGACAAAGATCTTCACCCTTATAATATTATTATAATATCATTATAATATTAAAAGAAACGCCCACAAGATCTACAAACAAAATTACACAAACATTGTGCTAACATGTTCTCTAAATAAATATAAATCTTAGTTTTTTCTATTTATGTAATATATTTATATATTATTAACAGAGATTTTGAAAAAAAAGAATTTAAAAATAATCTTAATATCACTTTCGTTCTTTTCGTTTCAGGCCTGGCCGATAATTTTCATAGCATTTTATTCTAGATTGATAGCCGTATTTATTTATTTATCTACTTGAAATTATCTTCAATCAAACGTCAAAAATACAGAAAAGTGTTCTTCACAACAAATTAAACAAGAAAACAAAAAAAAAAATCACAATAATGTTAAAATAAGTCTTCATTGATAGGCTTGAAAGAGTAATAGGTAGGTCAGACAGTCTATTCCTTACGTCACGTTTCAAGTTCCCCCACCACGCATTTCTGACTGAGCGAACCTGGTAGTTTTATTGGCTTTGGAAGTATGCAAGGTTATATTTTTATGAATGAAATATAGATTTGTTTTACAATTATTTTTAATGTATTATAATTTATATTAGTATGAAATACTGAACTTCTGTTACTTTATAGAAAAAAAAGTTGCAATCTTCCTTAATCAGAGTATGATTTCCTTCTTAAAACCATGATTGTATATATATGATTTTTTTTTTTATAGAAAAAAAAATTGTTACCGTCATTTTAAAAAAGTATTTTCGATTTTTATCGTGTATAAAATAAAATATAAGAAAATATATCTCAAAAAACTTAAAATCGGACCTGCATACTGTAAGCAAAGGAAATGTTCAGCATTTCATCCTCTTTGTAAAGGGCTATTATTTATAATTTATATTTAATATTATTAATCTCGCCTTCTTGATGTTTTCACTTCTATCGTGTGGTATAAAGCACACACCTTAGTTTTTTATTTTATTTTTGTGTTGACAATACCAATGTAGAGAGAGAGAGAGTATTTTCTTGAAATATTTTTCTCTTCCAAAAAAAAATAACTAGTAGAAGGTTATTAATTATTTACGTTTTAGTAATTACATATTTACTTTTTCTCTTGTTTTTTAACTAAAAAAAAAAATGGAATTAATGAATGTCCTTGTGTCTAACCTTCTCCTCTAATATAAATGTATTTTGATAAATATTAATTTGAGTTAACATTTATTAGAAGAAAAAAAAAGCATAAACAATGAAAGGAAAGAAAAGGGAGAAAAAAAAAATGGAAATAAAATAATAAAAATGTATATATATATATATATATATATATATATATATATATATATATATATATATATATATATATCTATTTTACTAATATTAAGTAAGACTTCTGTATATTTATATATAAGTTCATATATTGTCCTAAGGATAGAAGAGTATGCTGTGTGTATAGCAACCCAATGTAATTGGGCAGCAATCCTTTATATTTTATATTTTATGAAAATAAAGTGTTTCTCTCTGATTTAAATAAATTAATGCTCAATTTTAATTACTCAATTCATTTTAATCACTGTTCATTCATTTTCAATGTTAATTTTAATTTAATATTATAATATTATAAAGGAAAATAATATTTCTTACAACTGCTAAAGCGCCAGGATTGAAATTGCCAAAGAGATACAGCTTTACGGACAAGTAATAGGTGGCCATATAGCAAATACATAAAGCGAAATAGTTGAGTGCTTTTGCTGCAGAGGTCACTGCTGTATGTTCTAATTCAATCTTATTCACCATCTTCAATGTGTTGTTGAACCTATGTGGGTGAGAAAAAATGACAGTTATGTAAATAACCTACTAAAAGTTAATTGTTAAATAATTTGTTTGTTAATTTGTTGTGATTATTAAAACAAAACCTCGGCACTGGATATAGACTTTTTGAGGGTGTTTAACTGTTGTTGGGAATTCGGGAATCTAATACCTTTTGTGACACTGAGTGAGAAGAAACAATAAGAATATATATATGTATAATGTGGGACTTAGTAAATACACTTTGAATGAATTGATTTGTTATTGTTCAATCGTGAGGCATATAGGACAACTAAATAAATAAATGACTTTTCACTCCTATATACAAAACGATTTATTTCTACAACTGTAATAAATTGACTCTATTAAATCTTCTAAATCTTGTTGTAGACTCTCTTCCCAGGTATGTGTCTCAGCCTGAATGGCGTCGTCTTCCAGCTGCTGCTACCTGACCGGACCTTTTTCCTTCTTCATCGATTTTTTATCGATATTAGATTTTCCAATGAACAATTTGTCCACTGCACAATTGAGTACAATTCACAATGCAACTTCACATTCCTATATTTTATATATTCCTTCTCATTCCCTCACCCAATGTCACATAAAGGAGTAAATACCGGGGGATGTCTACTACAGTTATTTGTTAGATCAATCAGGAGTCTCCAAACTACAATCCAGGGAACGAATCTGGCCACCAAGCGCCTTCAATCCGGCCAACGAAAGTTTCTTTGATAAGATTGTAAAACTTGAAAAAACCATTTAAAATTGTTGAACCCGAGTCTACAACAATATTTATTATATGTTTTTTTTTTCTTAGAAAGTTCTTTTCACAGCTGAAGTGATATTTATAAAACTAGATATTTTTTTTTCATCAAAAGCCGTGGCCCGTGGGTCAAAAAAGTCCTCTCCCTAGAAGAGGATTTTATGGCGCAAGTTGCGCCATCAGAATTTTTTGGGCGAGGGCACATTAAGTTTTCAATTTTAAGAGATTTTTTTAAGAAAGCCCTGAAGTTTACGTATACAAAGTGTTTCAGGATTAAGAGGCAAAGCTGCAAAAATAAACTAAGGACCTCAAAAAAAGAAAAAAAATTTCCTCTGAAGGTATGCGGACATTTTCAACAAGATTTTCGTTATTATGAATTATTTACGTTATATGAAATAAATAAAACCTATTTATTTGTTCGGACTACTTTATTAATTAAATATAAACTTTAACATTCATATTAAATATTGTTCAAAGTGATTTCCTTGAGAATTGAGACAGGTTCGGCATCTTTCTTAAACAGTAGGAGTGGCAGAAAGATGTGTGTTATTCTTTCACAAGATTCAATTATCCTTCTTCGTAAGGAATTAAGATTATTGATAGGGCTTGCTCAATCATATCTCATATCCCACACCCCAAGTATTGGTCGTGCAGAACCAGTGGCTAGGCCTGCACGCTCTCCAGACCTGACACCACTAGAATTTATTTGTTTGTGGTGACATTAAATAAAAAGTCTATGCAAGTCCGGTCAATGACCTTAATTTCTTATGAAGAAGAATAAATGAATCTTGTGAAACTATAACAAGGGCGCCTCTTGTTTGAAATATCAGTAAGCGGTATCTTTATTGATTTTATATTATAAATGCAATAAATGCCTTGTCTTTGGCTATGAAACACCGAACAAATTTAAGATACAATAGCAAAAAATAAAAACCAAAATAGTAATGAAAAATTATCATCAGTGACAAATTGGTTGAAAATAATTAGGAAATAAAGAATAATTTCACTATTCTCAAATTATTGTAAAAAAAAATGTACCCCCTTTTGACAACGCTCTTGCAATTATTTTAGATGTAATTCTTATTTAAAAGGCAAAAATATTTTAAAACAAAGTAATAATGAATTCTCGGCACAGGCGTACGTAGAGGAGGGTAGGGGGAGGGTGCGTTGCAATAATTTGAAATCAAATAAAACATAATATAATACTAAAGATTTATAAAAAAAATTATTTTTTAAAAATTGCTGTACAATTTATTTATTGTATTTCATATAAAAATATTTATAAATATTAATAACAATAAACTTTTTTTGAAAAATGAGTGATGGGGGCAGTAATATATATTTTTTTTTTTTTGGGGGGGAGAGGGCATGCACCATCGGCTATAGGGGGGGTGTACACCCATACCAATATAAAATATTAATCAAATTTGATTCAAACTTTTAGTGATTGCAGATCATCATTGATTTTTTATGAATTATCACATATATGCAATATTATTGATGAAATTTACATTTGAATAAATAGTACCTTTCAATTTCTTTATATTCACCACCATATGCGGCAACTGTACATGCATTTCCAAGTACCTCAGAAGTAATTTTCGTACAATTACTAATGTACTGTTGCTGTGATTTTTCCTTTGTTTTTGATGCCTGAAATAAGAATTGTGCTTTTAAGAATACAGGAATTATGTTAATGATTAGTTTATATACAAATTTAATGTATAGCTGCTTAAAATCTAGACTTTATTTACTGCTGATCTTATAATTTTTAAAAATATTTATTTAAAATCTAATCTAGAAAAAATTGGACTTGTGGATTTGGGGAGGGGCAGCAACATTTTATAACATGAGACGCCTACAATCCTTTCAATCCAAAGTCCTTTGTTTTTGTTTCTTTATGAACATATGTAAAGATATAAAAACTTTTCTGGAATAGGTAGGAAAGTCGTGTGAGTGGACACCCCTGATTTTATTATGTTAACATTGTTTTTTTATATCATACGAATAAAAATTAAAACTCAGAGATTTCAGGAAACTTAACATACATTTTTTTGGATTTATCCCGTGATTGATGTCCAGTCTTCAGATTGATTATAGACGCTTTCTGAATAATCATTTTCTTAAGTATAGGTTATTTTATATAACAAAACTATATTAAATTATATCGTAGTAAATACAAAGACTATGCATAAAATTAGTGATACTTACTTGCAGTATGGAGTATATGATGGTGATAAATATTGAAATCGTTCCAAGTGTAAAAAGTGCAACCTTCCATGAAAGAAGCAGAGCAAAAAAGCAACCGAAAATTAATGATGAAAACATTTCTATTATATTAATCATTTTACTATCAAATAAGATCACCATCTTCTGTAAGTCACTGCAATAAACCAATTAAATATTAAAATATTTAAACATTGTTTCAATTATCAATTTCTAGTTACATTAATTAATTTATCATTTAATGTCCATATATCCAAAATAAACTCAAACAAAATATATGGTTAGCTGCAAAAATGCTGATTTCCCGGTGATATCGATATAGAAGATAATATGTAGAAATGTTAGGGTATCTAGGGTCTACGATAACTAGAACAAACGAAATTAAATAGGATATTAAGGTTAGGCTGAATACAGGAAGTGCTTGATATTTTTCTGTGACGAAACTACTTAGTTTGAGCCTTTGACCCGGATCTTAAAAACTAGAATCTATAAAACCATTATTTTACCTACTCTTGTTTATGGATGTGTGGATGCTTACATTAAGGGATGAGCTACATTTTAAGGTTTTTGAAAATAATGTATTGCGTAGAATATTCGGACCGAAGAAATATGACTTAACCGGAGAGTTCAGACTGTTACACAACGCCGAAGTGCGTGAACTGTATCCGGTTAATATAATTGAGGTAAAATTTTGTAAAATTGTTGTGCTTGGTAACGACAGAATTTCTAAAACGTTAATATTGGCTGTACTGAATGGTAAACGTCCGATGGCTAGACCGAAGCGAAGGTGGGAAGATGGCGTTAAAGTCGATCTGAAAGGACTGGGTTTGGACGGCGAACGATGGAGGGACGTGTGTTATAAGCGATTGGTGGTGTCGGCATCGAACCTTCGGGTTCGCTAGACCTTTTATTATTATTATTATTTATATCTAAAAGAAATAGGGAAAGAAGAAGTTTTGTCGTCTTACGAAAAACTGTACTTCTCTCTGTCTTCGCAGTCTCCTTCTTAAAGGCCTCTAGTGAACATGCTTTCTTGTACATCCATATTTTTCCGGACGACACTATTTCTAAATGGTTCATACTAAGTTTCTTTGTAAATGGCCGTACCATTTTCAATTTTTGTCTCAATGTTGTGTAGGATTGGTTTTTATACGTATTACCTAATCGTGGATAGGTGGTTGAATGTAGTAAGTAATTGAAGGGAAGTTGGTTGGTTGTTCAGTAGAAATACAAAGTAAAAATAAATAAAATTATATTTATTTTTATTTTTGCCAACGTTTTGGTCCAAATACACGAACAAGGCGTCACATTAAGACACTAGCGGATTCAGGATTTAATTTTGGGTGGGGCTTCTGCCCGAAAGATTTTTTTTTCATTTACATAAAACAATAATTAATTTGAAAAAAAAAAAATAACTACCTGTATGAAATAGAGTTTACGTGATTCTTGAAGTATTATTAAATGTAATTACACGAACAATAACTCTTTAAGAGATAGCTTTTAATACTTTTTTTAAAAAAACATGTTTATATATTACCATTTGGGGGGGAGGGGACTTCAGCCCGAAAGCCTCCCCCCCCCCGTAAATCCGCCTGTGCATTAAGATACAATTAGGAATTATAGCTTATTACAGAGAAGATGAAATGTTGAACAAATTCGTCGCATACAGTATGCGAAATATTATGCAATATTAAGAGATAAAAAACGTAAGCGTTAGACATACAATAAATGGGGTGACATAGTTGCTAAAATATGATGTCTAATTTACTTTTTATTTTGTCTGAAAACTCCAACATCTCAAAACCAAACCCTACTTCTTTTCAATGTTTGCAGAAGTAGTGGATTGAAGTGACTTTGAGTTGAAGAATGAAATGATGATGATGCTCAATAATCAATCTAATGGTAAATATGTTATGTTCAACATGTTAGATGCTCTGTCCTTATGTTCAGAAATATATACCAAGGTGAAATTTGTTGTATAATTTTTTATTGTGTCGCTTGTTTTTTGTTCATGTGTATTTGTTTTGCTGAATCACAAAGTTCTTCTCCGGATGTCCAAATTGGTTCTCAGTAGTGTTATAAATCAGTCGCTTGTTTCTTAAGTTGAGTGAGCATCGCCTAGAAGATATGAGAGTTGGTTATATCGCCTAGTCAGTTTTTGTCTTTTTAATTTCGAATATATGTTCCAAGTACATCTTTTGTTTAGTTAGAGTCCGAGGTACCGTACATAGTTCTTTGAAGGCACTGGGTTATGGTCAATCGTTATGGGTGGGCATGAGGCTTTCCCAAGAGATAAAATTTAACATTAGATTTGCTACTATTTATTTTAGTTTTTGGTTTATTATTTTCAATAATCAACCATTGTGATCGACCAAAAAATTCAAAAACTTAAACCCCCTCTCAAAATTTGAGATTTCGCGTTTCAGGATGCTTATAATTCGAAAAGCAAATACAATTTTTTTTGTCCGTCCACCGTCCACCGTTCACCATCCGCGCATTTTCTCCGAAACTACTGGACCAATTTTTTTGAAATTTTGACATAAAATCTGAGGTCGCCCGAGGATGTTCCTCCTTCATCGCCGTTACTATCCACCTTTTACTTTCAAACTGGCGGTCGAAAAACCTGCGTTGCTATAGACAGTAGCTCCTAAACGAATGTACCGATTTCAATGAAACTTCGTTAAAGGCATTTTTTCGACTCCCTTGAAAATTATCTATGCAACATACTTCAAGGTAAAAAAGCTGGAAAAAAAGTTACGAGGGATGGTAAAATTTAACTCCGAATAACTCAAAAAGTATGCACTTTTTTGTCGATATTGTGATAAGATATTTCAAAAAGGTATTTAAATTTCATATAACATGAAGGAAGTCTCATCGAAATCAAAGCACTATTAGTAAAGATATCGCAGTTTTATTTTTATAGCCAATATAAGGTAAGTTTATTGGAAAATATTGGCATATTTTATGTGTATTTTACAAGCTTTAACTGCATAATAATGTGGGCTCTGTTAATGAAAAATTGAAAATAATTTCATATACTTACTGTACCACAGTATTCACAAACTGTTCTTCTGATTTATCATACCAGCCAATCTCCATAGACAGCATCTTTGATAAGTAGGCTGTCTTAACTCTGGCCATTATGTTACGAGCAGCTAACTCACAAGCCATGATCTGAAAAATTCAACGACTTCTTATTAATGGTAGGATAATTAATGAATAGAAAAGGCAGCGACCGTTAGTTATGTTTTTAATGTAGCTTTAAAACGTTCATAATAATTTTAGTGGCGATGTATCAAAGACGGATATCTGTAATTTTCATAAAGAGTAGAAAAAGTCAATTTTTGGTTTATAGTTTCAACTGAAATTGTGTCTTATGATTTAACTTAATAATGCTCATCTTCAAGCTTAAATTTCATCTACCAGAGTCCTTATATCTAATACTACCTCTCTGATTGCTCCTTTCAAGTTCGCTGTGGTACTGAATTCTCTGACTTTAATTAATTGAAGTGATAGTTCCGCAGGGCAGCGTCTTAGGTCCAATCCTTTACATTCTATTCACCGCAGATATTCCTGCCCATCCCGATACTCTCCTGGCAACATTCGCTATCCTTTCAACCAACTCAGATTCTTAAACAGAGTCATTAAACCTACAAATGCACCTATCTCTGATTGAACTCTGGTTTAAGAAATGGCGCATTAAGATAAACGAATCCAAGTGTAAATATATTACCTTCACCCTTTGTCGTAAATCTTGTTCACTAAATTATTTTAACTACAGCCAGCTTCCCTTCTCATGCTCAATCTTATCGGTATCTTGGCTTTCTCTTAGACAGACGAATAACGTGGAACCCTCATACTGGACATAAAAGACAGGAACTTAACAGACTACTAAACAGAAAATCTAAACTTCCTATTGAAAACAAGTTACTGATCTACAAGACAATACTAAAAACTATTTGTACTTGGAGACTAGAACTGTGGGGAACAGCAAAATTTTCTAACACCAAACGCATCGAATCCTTCCAATCAAAAGTCCTTTGAACAATAGTCGATGCTCCGTTTTATGTAACCAACAAACTCCTACATCATGACCTCAACATCCTGTAATACTAAAAGTCGTACGAAAGTGAAACTGCATATTTAAGGTTTTTATATGCTAGGGATGTTACATCAACATTTTCGTCACATTTCGCTACCCGGAAGTGGCATATTATATCATGGACTTAACACATCTTTATATAATTTTCTCTAAAACGGTTCTAACTTCTTCTTCTTTGTCTTCCTCCTTCTTGAGGGGCCTCCACCCAGTCATCACGGTCCTTCGCCAGGTCTCTCATATGACCCAACTGTTCGCCTCTTTTCTGTCCGAACTTCGTCAATCCAAGTTTTTCGTGGACGTCCTCTTGACCTCTTTTCGGTGGGTCTTGCCTCAAGAAATTTTCTGGGTTCCCTGTCCTCGTCCATCCTCATAACATGACCGAACCATTTGAGCGTTTTCTTTTCCACGGTTTCCAGCATTGGTGGCACCTAAACACTCTAATCCCTTAGCTTCGGATGCAATCTCTTATAGTTCGGCCAACTACTCTTCTCAGATATTTCATTTCGGTAGCGGTAAGCCTAATTTTGTGCCTATTTAGAAAGACCCAGGTCTCACTACCGTACAGTAGGGTTTGAAGGTAGAGTGTGTTGTATATATTGATCTTAGTTATATTTTCCTAAGACCGTGTTGCAGATCTGATAATAGATGCCGTTTGCTTTTTTGATCCTGTTTGATATATCTTGGTATATTTTTCCGTTTTTACCAACAACTGTCCCTAGGTATGTATATTCCTCTATCAACTCCAGATTCTTACCCCTACAGTTTATTTGTATGTCTTCGATTTCTCGTCCTATCTGCATAATCTTACTTTTTTCTTCGTTTATGATCATATCTTTTCTCTCAAGTTCAGCTTCCCATTCCACAATCGCTTGCTGCAATTTTGCGGATGAGTCTGTTATGAGGACAATATCATCTGCGTAAACGAGAGCTTGGGCTATTGTTCTCATATTCCATTTCCCTATAATTGTTCTTCCAGCCCTACGTTTACAGATTTTCAGAATCTCATCCATGAACACAATTTATAGTATGGGGCTGAGACTGTCGCCTTGTTTGACCCCTTTTTCCATATTAAAGCTGTTTGATTCCTAACTTTGAACCGAAAACGGTTCTAACGATTTTGATTAAATCCATTATATCAGTGTAAATTTAAGCAGTCCTAAATAAAATGTAAGTTTTATTCTGATTGATGTTCTTCCTTGATTGAAATTCTTGGTCGAAATCAAAAAATATAATGAAGAACAAACCTAATATAAAAATAGGAATATTGATGTCTCAAATCTGTTTTTAAGACATCAAATTGTTTACACTTAATTCGGATGATATATGCTGTTATACCGAATCACTTAATGAAAATCAAAACAAAAAAATTTATGAAATCGTTGATTTCTTACCTCAGCTATACCAAGTATGATTGTGACTCCTGCACTCAAGAGGTATCCATAACCCATCGTTGATATCATAGGAATCTCCTCAGTCATATTAATATTATAAGGCTATAATTAATCAAAAATTGCGTGTAAGTACGATATTTATTCATTAAAGTTGGAAACTGACAATAATCATTTTATACTCACATTCCCTACAGTCTCAGATTTAATGAATACAGTTAGAACCGGTGTATGAAATGCGTAAGTGTTGAATGGGCCAATGAAACCGACACTGATGGCCAAGAAGACACTCAGCATCAGATTAATCTTGTCCTTCCTCTTCGCGTAGCGTAACTGTTGAGGAAAACCACTCATGAAGATATTGTAAGTGTGGTTGTATACCAAGTATTACAGATTAAGAAATAGATGGAATGGATCCTGGATATTATGCTTATTTATTTCTGAACACTTTAACAGTGGGCGGGATACATGCCTTCCCGTTAACATTTGGGCCACTGGTGCGGCCGGGATATAAGCCTTCCCCCATGGGCAGTCGCCACTAGCGGATCCAGGATTTAATTTTGCGGGGGGGGGGGGGCTTCAGCCCGAAAGTTTTTTTTTCCATAAAAATAACGATAATTACTTTGGAAAAAAAGAGAAAGAAGCTAACTACCCATATGAAATGGTGTTTAAGTGGTGTCCTGAAACCCTTTGAAATGAAATTACATGAACAATAATACTTTAAGAGATACTTTTTAAATATTTTTTTCGATAAAACATGGTCATATTTTAGTACTTTGGAGGGGGCTTCAGCCCGAAAGCCTTCCCCCCCCCCCAACGTAGATCCGCCCGTGGCAGTCACCATTTAAATAGGCAAGCCCCCCAATATTTGACTTGTGGCTTGGTAGGTGCATCCATTAGTCCCATATAGCTCACTCTGTTGTATTTATCTGTTGCAGATTTGTCTAATACATGTCCTTTCTCTGTTATTTGTGTCATATCCATCATCTTACTTATATTCTATTTAAATGTTTTTTTCATCAAATAAATGTTAATAAGTTAATTTTATAATTTTTTCTTCTTTTTTTTTTTAAATTTTGGTTTTGATTGAATGATGATGCTGAATATCTTTCTACTAAACAAATAAATGTAAGTTTACTACATTTTTTATATAGATATATATAATATAATTAATAAATGTAAAAATATACAAAAATTAAAATGTAATAGTAAAAATAATTAAATGTAAAGATATACAGAATTAGAATTATACTTTAGTTGTTTTATCATTTTTCTATCCGCCTAAAAACAATATATATACATTTCATATATATATATATATATATATATATATATATATATATATATATATATATATTTCATATAATATAAAAGTGTTTGAAACTCAAAATAAATTTAAGTGCAATAATAAAATTTATAGCTATTTTCAATATGAAACATTTTTTGGTAAGAAAAAATGTGTAAATATAAAGAAATATATAATTAGAATCCCGCCATCGGTGTCCTTTTTTTAGAAAAAATATAATTTAATTTTATGATCAGTTAATTTTATATACGTATTTATGATCAGTTATTGGAATTTTCAGTTATTTTTCTTTTTCGGAAATGAGCTAATACGCAACAAAGCAATGTGTTGCGCGATTGCCGCTCTAATTTTACATTGCTATGTGCGACCGGGAAGGCATGTATCCCGTTACTTAAAATTTAAATAAAAGGGTTAAAACATTTTTGAATTCTAAGATGTTGCAGAGTGGCTCAAAATAGTATTTTAAACAAAGTTATATAAAAAAAAGAAAAACGATTTTCTGAACTTCTATTCGGATTTCAGAATGCAACATCTGGTAGAAACACACGAATGAGTGCCCGCAGTCAAAGGGTTAATAAAAGTCTTTCTTAAAACCGATAGTATTTTTAAAAGTTGCTTCCCCGAAAATCTAAAAAAATACCTTGATATCGAATCAATCCGAAAAATTTAAATGGAATGACACATTATCAATTTACATTAAAACCGATAGTATTTTTTAAAACTAAAGCTCTGTAACTACGATATGGGAATTAGAATGGATAAATTTTCATAAAAATGAGACTCACATAATAAGGTGCAATAAGGCTATTATTGGAGGAATCAAATATATATATATATATATATATATATATATATATATATATATATATATATATATATATATATATATAAGTTATGGTTAGAGGTAAGACAATATAACAGTTAATCCTAAGTTAATCCTATCTATGAAGTGTAAACAAAGTGTAATACTATATATATGGCATTACTAAGGCAATAAAGTCAGTATTCTTTGAGTAACCACGTGCTTCATTTCGGATCCTTTTTCCCTTTTTTTTATTATTTCTTGTTCGAACTGACGTAAGTGGTGCCGAAAGCCGGGACCTTTAGATTCAGTCGAGGAAGTAGTTTTTTTTTTCTCTTTCTTTTCGTTTTCGTTATTAACGTCACAAGAAATAAAAAAGAGGAAGGATGCCGAACGGAATAGGGCAACCACCAGCATCCACCGCTCAACAGGTAGCACAGCAGGTAGCACAGGCGACACCGCCGACGGCACCACCAGCAGCACCGTTGGCTCCACCGCCGGCGTTCCCTTCGCTGTCAGAGGCGTTAGCGAGGGATTTTCCTCCACTACCTACGGAAACGTTGGCATCAACACATGCAACTACGTTAGAGTGGTTGAAGGTGAGAACGGCGACGTCGCAGGATCTTAGGAGAGCGATATCCGATTTGGAAAGATTCGATGGAGGAGTAGGTGAGTTGAATCACTTCCTAAAAGGTGGCGATCGGGTGATATCGCGTATATTGGCTAAGGCGGAGGAAAACCTGATAGACCCGATGGACGCCAATGCATTAAGGGCAGCCCTGGTATGCCGGGTTAAGAGGAGCGTACTGAATATGATTCAGGCGGATGAGGACACTCCATGGAATGTTGTGAAGGATCGGCTGAAGAAGGCGTTTGGAGGAGGTCGATGGGCGCCCGAGGAGGACATCCTGCAGATGTTCCGAGAAAGGAAACAGCCTCATCAGACCAACGGGCAATATGCTGCAAATCTGCTGGCACGATTTAACCGCGTAACAGAGAAGACGAGGGAAGTGGCTGATGCGGTGGAAACGGGAGCCAGGATGGCATTTTTGTCAACCATCCTGAAAGTTCAGTTAGGGAGAGACACTGGAAAGAAGGATGGACTACCGAGGGACAAGAGCTTTGTGGAGTGTGCTCAAGACATGATAGATGCAAGTGCTCGGGAGGAAGAAGCAGCCCGTGGGGATGAAGGGAACGAGTATGGATGGAACAGGGTTTCGTATAGGAGGGCGGAAACCGGGAGGTTCAAAGCAAGACAGGAGGAGTGGAAGAAAAGAGGAGGAGATGTTGGTACAAGAGAAAGACCGGCAATGAGAGAAAGAAAGCCAGGCAAAGAAAGGAAGAAATGGACAAAGGAAGACAGGAGATGTCACGGGTGCGGAAAGATAGGCCACCTAGTGGCGAATTGCCCGCGAACCAGGTGTTTTGAATGCGGAACCGAGGGACACATCGCCAGACAATGCCCGTATATGAGTAGACGGGGGGATGTGGGCCGGGATGAACCAATGGAAGTGAACGCCCAGAGATTGCGGAGAAAGAGAGGAGCAGTATCGGAGTCAGATGAGTCTTCAGGGACATCGGGAACCGAGGAAGAGGTGACAGAGATAAGAAGAGCTCGAGGAGGAAGAAGTAGTAGGAGAAGTGGAGAAGGAGGAGCCGTTGCGGACAGGAGAGGAAGATCAGACGAATGAGGAGAGGAGCAGAGGAGAGGCAGCCACGCGGTAGTCAATAATATTGGAGGTGAGTGCGTTGGTTTGCCAATTATAAGTGTTGTGGGGAGGGGGAAGTGTTTGGTAGATACGGGGAGCTCTAGCACAATATTATGTAGAAAGATGCTGGAGGAATTGTGTGAAGGAGAGAGGATACCAGAAATAAAAAATTGTAAGTGTAAGTTGATTACTTTGGGTGGTCCTTGTAGAGTCGAGGGGGAGGTAGAATTAGATCTGGATCGATGGGTGGCCGGAATCGGGAAATTGAGGGTTCATGTGGTAGAGAATATGCCGAGAGAGTACGGAGGCATAATAGGGTGTGACTTATTAAGTAGGGTAAGGCCGAGGATAGATTACAGGAGTACAGGTTGGGTTGTTCGAATGGGAGGGAAGAAGTATCGGTGTAAGCGATTGAGGGTGGACGAAACAAGGAATGTCGGGGCAATAGAACAAGCGGAACATTGGGTACAGAGGATAAAGAGGGAGTACGCGGATATTTTTTTTAAAGACGGGGAAGTGTTGACCGCGACAGGGAAAACGGTCCATGAAATTCCTTTAAAACAGGAGAAAGTGACATACGTTAAGGAACGACGTTATCCGCAAGCGCTACGGAGACACATCAAGGATGAGATAGAGAGCTTGAAGAAGCAAGGCATAATTGTGGATAGCACGTCACCGTACAACAGTCCCCTATGGGCAGTGAAGAAGAAGACCACGACAGGGGAGGAGAAGTATAGGGTAGTGGTAGACTTCAGGAAGCTCAACGACAATACCTTGGATGAGAAATACCCGCTCCCACGATTTGAGGACATCATTGACAGACTGAGCGGAGCCACAATCTTCAGCACTCTCGATCTGAAGGCGGGGTATCACCAGATACGTATGCATCCCAGGGATCAACATAAGACAGCTTTTTCATTCGAAAGGGGACATTACGAGTTTACTCGCATGCCGTTCGGGTTGAAAAACGCTCCTATAACCTTCCAGAGGTTTATGGACGAATTTTTGAGAGGACTGGATGAGGCATTCTGCCAGGTATATATGGATGATCTCCTGGTCTTCAGTAACAATGAAACGGAACACATTGATCATTTGCGCCGCGTATTTGACAGAGTGAAGCAGTTGGGGTTAAAATTGTCTGCTGAAAAGTCGATTCTGGGGCAGGATGAGATCAATTTTCTGGGACATTCGATTTCGAGGGAAGGGATCAAGCCTGATAAGCAGAAGGTAGAGGCGATACAAAAGATGGCGATGCCCAGAGATGTCAAGGGGATCCGGAGATTATTGGGGACGTTGAATTATTATCGTCGGTTTGTCCCGGAGATGGCGGAATATCTAGCGCCTCTTAATAATCTCCTAAAGAAAGGCCGGAAGATCGCAATAACACCAGCGATAGAGAATAACGTGCGGAAGTGCATGGCAAGGCTGCAAGAAAAGCCGGTACTCGCTTTTCCCGATTTTAGTAAGGGTTTCATTATCACCACAGACGCAAGTGAGTATGCGTTGGGAGCAGTACTTGCGCAGGAAGGAACGGACGGGGAACAGCCAATAGCGTATGCGAGTCGGCGACTCACAGAAGCGGAAACACGGTATAGTGCCCTGGAAAGGGAACTCTTGGGAATTGTATGGGCGGTAGGCCATTTTAGACCGTATATTTTTGGTCGGAGGTTTAAAGTGCATACCGATCACAAACCGTTGCAGTGGGTGGGCAACCTGAAGGAATCATCGGCAAGGGTCACGCGATGGAAGCAGTTCCTGAGTCAATATAACATGGAGGTCAGGTATAAGCCAGGCAAGGAGAATATAGTAGCGGACTGGCTATCCAGAGCCGTAATGATAAATGCCATTGAGGAGGAAGAAGGGGAGTCGTCGCGGGACGTGCGGCAGTTTTTGAGAGCATGGACACCGGAAGGTGAAGGGGAACCCGGGGATGCGAGAACAGAGGAATCGAGAGGAGAAGAGAGCTCGGTGGATGAAAGGCCTACCGACATGGAGGAATGTGAAGAGATCATTAACGATAAGCGACGACAAGTAATTTGGAAGACCAGAACGTCGGGGCTTATGAAGATCGACTTCACTAAATATGGGAAGAAGAAAATTAATACCATTTGGTCCCAACCAGGGGTGAAAGAGGAACAGATTTGCAAGGCTTTGCACGACGCTTCGGAGTCGGGGAAAATTCACCATCTATATGTAGGCAATGCAACCATTTGGGAGAAGATCAGGAAACTCTGGAGGGCAGAGAAAATAGGTGTTGACAGGGCGTTTATTAAATGTAAGTACTTGGTTGAAACGGTAATGGACAAGGAGCAGCAAAGGGAGGTGACACTGGCACATCACCAGGGCAAGACGAACCATCGGGGGGTACAGGAAACATTCCACGCATTACGCAGGAGATATTATTGGGATGGTATGCGGAATACGATCTCGGAAGTCATTGGAATGTGCGAAGTGTGCGCGCGCACTAAATATGACAGACGACCACCTCAAGGAGTACAAGAAGAAACCCCTACAGGAGATACGCCGTTGAAAGATGTGCAAATCGACACATTCACGTGGAGAGGCTTTAAATGGGTTACCATGCTAGACCTCTTTAGCAAAATGGCAATGGCACATCGGGTACAGGATAGGTCGGCGGAGGCTGTCATGGGAGCTCTCCAAACGTGGGTCCAGTTCTATGGAGTGCCAGATCGCATAACGTCGGACGGAGGCAGGGAGTTCGACAGCAGTACCATCCGAGAAGAAGCGAAGCGCTTGGATATAGGTTGGCATTTCAATACGCCGGGACATCCAAAGGGCAGAGGAGGTATCGAGAGGTTGCATAGCACCCTAAGTGATCACCTACGTATATATCAAGGGGAGCAGGGATTAGAAGCGGACGTAGCAATGCAGAGGGCGGTAGCGGCTTACAACCATTCAATCCACTCCGTTACAGGGTTTTCCCCAGTCGAGGTACTGTTCGGAATAAATATACGGCGTCGAGATTGGAAGGAAACAGTCACGAGCGAGGATCACGCTCAACAAATAACGTGTAACAGAGCGCAAATAAGGAAAGTGTGGGATAAAACGAAAGGGAGAATAGAGAAAGAGAAGCGGAAAAGGGTGGAAAACGTTAATTTGAACCTCAGAGATAGAATGGGTGCATTAAAAATAGGGACGGTCGTCTATCGTAGGGTCGGATCCAATAGGGGGAAGGAATTGGCGCGCTACGAGGGACCATTCAAGGTAATCATACTTAGAGAGCACAACGTTTGTACGATCCAAAGTCTGAAGGATCCCAGAAAAAGGAGGACTGTTCACATAGAACAGTTAAAACTCCCGATAGAGACGGAGTCACTACAGTAGTGTGATATCCTCTTTTCTATCTCCTACAAGCTAGGGACCGACGCTAAAAAGTTAATTTGATTTTGTTGTTCACTTTTGGTTGTAAGATAACAGTGTCTTTTAATTTTATTTTTATTGTTTTTTATGCTATTCTTACTCTGGATGTTCTAGGAACTCCAACGGCGATTATATCTTTTCTTTTTGTTTGTTTGTAGTTGTTGTATTTTGGTTATGTATTACGTCAGTTACCCTGCGTTAGTTTATGAGGAATGTTCATAAACTGGCGGGGGGGAGTTATGGTTAGAGGTAAGACAATATAACAGTTAATCCTAAGTTAATCCTATCTATGAAGTGTAAACAAAGTGTAATACTATATATATGGCATTACTAAGGCAATAAAGTCAGTATTCTTTGAGTAACCACGTGCTTCATTTCGGATCCTTTTTCCCTTTTTTTTATTATTTCTTGTTCGAACTGACGTAAGTTATATATATATATATATATATATATATATATACATATACATATAATCTATATAATAATGTTGGAGTAGCTGAAAAATAAAAAATAATCAGAAGAATTTGGCTGAGTATTTTCTGTACACTGCTTGTACTTTCTGTACTTGACTAACATATACTCTATGATTAAGGTTGTTTTCTTTCAGAAGCAATACTCTCATTACTTATTCATGACCGGCCGAATACAGAAAATACTCTGTGCTATTTCCTAATGAAAGTACTCAAATCATGAAAAGTAATCCAGTACTGTCAATCCTTATATTTCGGATATTGGGCTAGTTTTGAAAATGTAACTAAAGTACCCTTTTAAGACTTCACGAGATCTTTTAATTTATTATTACATCAAATAATACAAAATATTCTACGTACAGTTTTCAAGATTGTCCTTAGTTTTCCTGGTTCTTTTATTCTGAAACATATTTGAAAAAAAAAAAAAACTGAAGCTTCATAATCTTTATTCTAACAAAGAACACGTTATATTTTAAGTATAACAGTTAAAAATTACTGACTTTTTTTCGATCTCGTAGACTGTTTCAGTTTTGTTCCAAATCTGAAAAGTAAAATAAATAACACTAATTATTAAAAAAAAAAATATATATAAGTTTATTCCTTAAAAAAACTATATTGAAAAAGCCTATAATTAACAATTGTATAAAAAAATAATATAATTATCTTTTATAAGTATTCTTATAACTTTTTGTTCATTAGTTCCTAATTGTTGACGATCTCTTGGTGGATTTTGTTCTGTTGGAAGTTTATTTGGAAGAATATTTTTTTATTTTTTGCTTCCTTACCACCGAATGTAGGGAAGCTTTGTATTCGGGCGGGAGGTTAAAACATTTTTTGTACCCGCTTTCGAAGAATTCCACTCACGTTTTACTTGTCAGACACCAACGATCAAATTTGGTTCAGTCTCTGTCTATCTGTCTGTAATTAAAGCGATGTGACAGGCATATTACCTACTACTGTTTATCAGATTTTCATGAATTGTTCAATGATTTTGCGGGTTGGTGACTAGCTAGTCTCATATTAATTTTATTAAATCTCATGCAGTACTTCCGTTTGCGTACGTGCAAATAAATTTTCTATATACTTTTTCTGCTTGCATTACAGACTATGTAGATATTTGGCTCCTTAACAAGCCTGCTCCATCTCTTCAATTGGGACATTCATTGTTACTGAGAGGCATCCAGATGAATTGCTATGAGCTACATGCCCCGCTCATCTTAATCTCCGTGCCTTCATATCATGGGATATTTAATGACCAGTTTCTGTAAGCAATTATTTATTGGTCTTTCTTCTCCCTGTGTAGTACTCCCAGATCGCTGCGGTTATCGTGTGCAGGTTTTTCCTCTCAAATCTTTCAACACTTTTTTCTAGGTTGCTGGTTAGTGTCCAATTCTCACAGCCATATATTTGAACTGGCTTTATTATAGCATTTATTTATTTATTTATTTGGTATTTTGTTGGCTCTGCCCTGTAGGGTCATTGGCAACGCCTTTACATTACACTCTGTTGCAGAGTTTTATCACTTTCGTTAACGATTTCGTCAGGGTCAGTTATAATGTCTTGTCCAGTCTTTATACCAGGCAATTTCTTGGTTTTGGAGATCCCCTTAATGCTTTTCGCTTTATTCCAGAACTCCTTTATTGAAATGCTTTGATGTAATGAAGATACGAAGTCTTCCCATGACGATCTTTTGCTTTTCGGTATATATCGTAATCTTTGTATCTCACTGTTTGAGTTTCTTGTAAGTGTGTTTCTTGGAGACAAACTAGTATAGGGTTCTCTTCGCTTATTGTCATTTTAGGTGCTCTAAATGTCGGAAAAATCTGTTACAATTCCATTGAATGATTGTTTTCATTTTGATTGGCAAAGTGTTTCTTATTTTCCAGATCATTATTATCACCATGTATTATAGCATTGTACACTCTTACTTTGAGATATCTTGAGATTTTTAGGGATTTCAATACCTTTGAGGGGGAGAATAAAGCTCTGTTTGCGCTATACATATTTTCTATATATATGCCAATATTTCAGAAACTGCTCGTCCGATTTGGCTTAAAGTTGAAAGAAAGATTGGTATAGATAAAGAAATAATGCTGCATCGATATTATTGAATTCCGTTTTCTATTACCTCTTGTATATGTGAAAATGTATTTTCCTTGATACAAATTTACCTAAAAAACGGCAGGTTTGATTTGCCCAATGTTTGGAGGGAAATTAGAGGTTGATAAATAAGTGATCAAACAGGAATTAATTTCATCAAATTCTCTCTAATACTTTCAAAAATTACTTTTCGGGTCTGTAAACGTATCATTTTTGATTCGTGAATAGTTTGAAAACGGTTATTTCGTTCTGATACAGAGTTGGAGGAAATTCTGAGATAGGTTTCATCAAAATCTATTCAACATTTATAATTAATATTATTATTTTTTTATTTGTTTTCGGGGAACGCCCCATACAAATAGAGTTGTCTATAATGTCTAAAATGAACAAATTAATATGAAAAACATTGACAAATATACAAAGTAAAATTCATTAGGATTAAACAACATCCTCTCCTGATAACAACCAAGCATCTGACTATATGCCTAAATATAAACAATGAAATATAATATAATACCCCACGTAATACAATAATTCAAAATAATTCATCTAAATATAGCTAGCAATAAAATGACAAATAGTAATAAATAGCACTAGTAATAAAGATAACTACAGGCATAGTATACAATATATAATATATAAACATGTCAATGGTAAATAGCAAACGATACAATATGAAACGATATGCACGATAAATAAACTTCAAAGTTTTGGAGATATATCTGTAATGTTGTTATTCATTGAAAATGAAGGACCTCATTCTGTAACATTGCCTCGTTTAATAAAACAGGTTCTTGAGGAAGACTTCATTGTCAGTTTTGAATAATTCCGAATAATTCGCCCTGGTCATGTTAATGGAATGAGGTAAGGAGTGTTGGCGGAAGTGAGCATAAATCGGGCACCGGACAAAAATATGAAAAAGGTCCTCTAATTCATTTAAGTTACAAAGCGTACAAATTTCTTTTGGTTTGAAATAGTAATAAGTATTATTAAACGTTAATTTAATATTATAATTTCCAGATAACCTAATCAGTGTTAGTGTTTTCGTCATGTGGTAAGGAGCATTTAATACGAGATAAGGCTGATGCTTATCACTCGCTGTATACATATTGAGATACATTGGGAGGTAACCTAGTATGGGTAATCAGTTTTTGTTTATCGAGTTCCTCTATATGGCTTTTAAACAGGCTTATCGTTGTAATTAATATAAATGATCGTTAAGAATATAATGGCTTAAATAAGCTTATATTTAATAACAAGCTTATATATAATAATAATTATATTTATAATAATATAAACAAATTATTATAAATATTATAAAGATATTTGTGAAAAATATCACAAACTTACCCTCAACAAGTTCTTGTTCTTCATTTTAATATCAAGATTTTGCGATGCAGAAAGACTTTGTTCCTCGTTGCCAGAATGAGAATCCTGAAATAGAAATGCGTTGTTTTTAATTTTGCACCATCGGATTTCCATTTGTTCGGATAGTTTCAAAGTGGCAAATGATTTGCAAATTAAAATTATGTCCAAAATTCCATCTTTATTAGACCGTAGTATATACCCCTTTTCATCAAATTATTATCATCCACCTTACTTCGTAATAACTCCATCTCATTGTAATCTCCATTCCCACATCCCCACATATATTATTACAGTATGGCTCGAAATCGTTTTTGTACCAAATATAAGCTCCTTTCATGCTCAAATACCATGAATGGGGTACCGTTGGGTTCAGAATTTCACGGGGGAGGGGTTAGTGAATCGTATTCTCCACTTTTGTTTTTCTTTATAAAATAAATAAAACCGATACAAACATTTTGCTAGGCTTCAATACTGGAACGGTGGTAGGTCTGTAGATCGATACGGGACAAATTGGATCTTGACGATTTTGATGGGTACAGCAAGACCCGGATAGTTCCTCCGGAACTATCGGATTCTGTGTTTTTAAGCCCCAAAACGTACCATTTTCGAGATAACGCAAAGCATAGGGTTCGTTTCCACACAACCTTATATTAATTGTAGTACTGGCATTGAATACATGTCTCATTTCGTCGACTTGAGGTCTCTATGATCGAGAGAGGAGGAGTTTATATTATTTATCGAGGGTGTTTTTGATCGGCAAGCCATATCTTCGTTAATTTTTCACTAAATCTCAAGATTGAGCCACCAATCTCCTTTAGGCGGGCAAAATAGTCCAATCACCCCGAAAATTCAGGCAAACAAGTTTGCGAATAACTAAAAAAATACACACTTTTCTCTTGGTTATGCCCATGATTATATAAAAGATTACTAAATGTCCTGCAAAATGAAAAAAAAAAAAAAAATCATCGATATCAGACAATGTTTAGCAAAGATACAGCTTATTAAAATTTTTAAACATGTAAGTTCCATTTTCCAACTTCCAAACAAAAATGAAGAATTAAATTAATTTTTGTTTCCTTTTTCGATTATATTTATCGATAAAGTAACATTTGATTTCTTTATCTTTTGATACGTTGCATTATTTTATTTTCTTATTAATTCGGCATTTGATAACAATATGCTGTGCGAATTTTTCGCACGGACCTACTAGTCTACAAATATTTTACTTACGAAAACTCTCGGAATTGGAGTGTTTTCAATCTGGAGGTCGGTAAACTTTGTTTATTTAATTTGGTACTGAAAACTCGTAAATACCCATTTGCTTTCCACTTGGATCGTAAGATAATCTGATTACAAAATCGATAAAAAAGGTGGTCTATAAAAATATTGGGCTGCTTGGCCAATACAATATCGTTATTTTGACAATTTGGGGTTGTAGGTCATGCCAAACGGTTAAATATTTTTGAAGGTCATCTTTTTTTCTCGACTTTGCGCTCAAGTTATCTTACGTTTTTACTAACTAATTAAATAGACTAATTTTGCCGAACTCCAGATTGAAAACGCCCCAATTCCGAGAATTTTTGTGAATTTAATATTTGTATGAGATGATGCTATTTACAAAGTTTCTGGCGGATGTTAATAATTTGATTTTTTTTTAATATCTGGTGTGTCCACCCACATACCTACCTACTCTCAAATGCCTATTTCAGAAGAGTTTTTATATCTTTACATATGTTCTTGAAGAAACAAAAAACAATTGAACTAGATTTATTTTCCTAAAAATTGAACAACCAACAAAAGATTTGAGTACGATTTAATTGATAAACTAAAGCAATGTAAATCGGCTTAAGGTAGATCAGTGTAAAAATTTCAATAGTCACACTAATATTGCTGATCAAAAACTTTTTGCCGTAGCTTAGTATTGTCAAACAATAATGTCTGTTAAAAGTAGAGGACATAGTGAAGATTGTGTGATGCGGGTAACCGATTTTCTTACTTTCACTTAGACATCTTTATTCTCTCATTCACCTCTTTCTGACACCAGGATATGAACCCGTAATCTTACATTGGAAATTGAATAGCTGTAACTTCGTTAATAGTTGTCCAAAATGAACGATTTGTATATGTCTTTGTAGGGAATTTCATTACATTAGTGTAGGTAGTATGTAATAAGTTAAAAAATGTGTAATAAATATATTGGTTCGATTCCGATGATTTATTTTTTTGTTTTTTAGGTAATTTAGTTATCTTTCGAAAGTTTTATCATAAATTTTACAGTATAATATATACTTAGGGAGTTAGGCCCCATAACATTTTTCTTTTCTTTATAATTTTTTTTCCTGATTTTTTTTTCGGAAATTTAGTCTAAATACGAAATTGAAAGGACGATTATTAGAACATTATAGGAAAGTTTCATCCAAATCGTTAAAGCCGTTTTCGCGATATAGTCTATAGAAAAACATGTTTTTCATTTATTGCGCACAAGCTATTGCGCATGGAGCACCGAGATTCTGTCAAGCAAAAAAATCGCTTAAGTATTTCTCGAGAAAATCTTGGCACAGACAGACCAATGGCAAAAATGTGTTTTTCGGACTCAGGGGGCTCTCTAACGTATAGATCCGTCGAAAACCGCATATTGGAAATTTGGTCCGATTACAATACTTTCCTTAACTAGTATAGTAAAAAAGGGTCTGTACCACTGACTAAATATTTATTTGCTCCAAAACCGATTGATTTTTATCAATACGGCATTACTTTCAGGTCCCCCCTAATACTTATTAAGCAATAAGAAAAACTGAACTTATCGTATACTCACGGGTAATTTTTCTCCAGTTGCCAAAATATTTTTGTTATAAACTGAACTGAATATTTTCTGTTCGAATTCAAAACTTTTAAAAATTCAGACCATTGTACACAATTTCAATCACATAGTCACTTAACTTGTTCTATTGCTAACATAAACTAAAGTTAGAATTAATCGCAGTTCGTTAAGTAATTTAATCAAGTCAAAACCTTCTGGAAATAAATATAACTTTTTTCTGGCTGTTATATGACAAAGGATCTCCCATAACCTTGATCATCTCATATTTAAAAAGTCTTTTCAATTTTAATATTCTTCACTAATTAAGTATAATTAAAAAAAATCATCTTAATTACAGAATTGAGAGTCAGATTTGAAGGATAAATATTATTCACTTTATATTACCAATATATAATTTTATTATTCGACTATTTGATGTTCCCGGGTTTTACATTCGTTTTTCAAACGATCTTCCAGGTTGAAAAAAAAAAAGTAATGGTATTAGTTTTCTGTATTGCTTCTAAGAAATGTAGAGATGAAATTAAAATAAATCCACTTCAATCACAAAAAGAAATGTCTCAATGTTTATCTAAAAAAAATTACCGAATGTTACTGTCCCCAAAGTGAGGATACGATGTTCTTCATACTTTGATATGCTCTGATTTATCCCAACAAAAAATATGATGACATAATAAAAATTAATAATAAAAAAAGTTAGGTAAACAAATTTGAAACAATAATTACTGGTCCTGGATTAATGAATTGAATTTCTTTTCTCAAATGCTGGTTTGTGCTTTTCATGCATTATAATTATCAACATTACCTGTGATCATCATGATATACATAGGTAACAGAATTGAAAATAAATTTACTATAAAACTTATTACTTTCAGATATGTTTTATAAAGAATTATATACAAATTATATGAAATACTATTTACAATAATCAAAATAAAACTATAAACAAATGAATTTAATAAATACTTTGTGAAGATATAATTCAGAAGGACTGTTTTAAGAATTATGCCATGAAATATATTAACATTAGTAATGATGTAGAGATGGTTGACCGTGATATAATATGAGAAGGAGTTGATCGGTGGGTGCGGTCAAATAAATATTAAATTATACAAATATTATTATTTAATTTTTGCCGACGTTTTGATCCACTTTGCAGGTCTTCATCAGGGCTACAAAAGATACAAATCATGGTGAAAATAAAATAAATGAATATGAGTAGATATAAAATAAGAAGAAGTTGTCTGATAAAGAAATAAAAAGATGATATCAGTGATATAGTGGGTGACAATGTAGTTAAAATATCAAGTATTATATATATATATATATATATATATATATATATATATATATATATATATATATATATATATATATATAGAAGATACAAAATAAAATGGAAAATAAGTATGAATAAAAATAGAAAACAAAGAAGAATATAGCATGTAAGTTAAAGGCAAGCAGATTGCGATAAAAGATAAGGAATGAATGCATAACAAACTAATAAAGATTAAATTTGATAACTATAGGTTAACAGATAAAGAAAATGAGTGTTAACGAATACAGAGATTGGAAATTGAATAAGTAATGATAGAGTAAAGCTAAAATAAGAATAAGATAATGTAACAATAAGATATCAGTGAATAACAAGCTAGTGGAGGTTACATTTGATAACTGTAGGTAAACAGATAACCGGACTAAAGCTTAAGAAATAAAGGAATTGAAAGATTGATAGGATAACATTAGTTGTAATATCGTTAGGATAGATTATTAATTATAAATAACCTATATAAGAGAACAAAATTTTAAGAAGAGAAATTTAGAATGTAAGTATAAATGTAAACAAGGTTATGATGATAAAAACAAGTTGTACTATACATAGATGACAATTGACACTCAGTTTTTTGCAAGCGGTAATGGAATAGTAGGCTGCATGAATTCTTCTATTGATGCATCCATGAATACAAAGTGGGTCGAAACGTCTGCAAAAATTAAATAATACTAATTGTATTATTTAGTATTTATTTGACCGTACCCCCCGATCAACTCCTTCTCATATTAACATTAGTAAATCTATTATTGAGAATTAAAACTTAGCTATATTTTAAAAAGTGGTGTAGTTATTAGATTTCATCACTGTATCTGCTGTTTAAATGTCCTCTTGTCCAGTCAAAGCCCAGATCCAAAATCTGCCAAGAAGCCCATCTCCCTGGTCTGTGTAGGCCAAGCTGCCTCTTCAGTCCCCAAG